CCAATTAATTAGTAATAAATGCCACAGTAAATATTAGGTTGTTCGAAAAGTGTGTTTCTTTTACAGACACGTCTTTTACAACGATGCATCTTTATACAAACATTTTTTTTTATTATTTGGAAGAATTTTACTAACAATTCTCATTGAGAATTATAAGTAAATTATTCTAGCGTTGTACTATAACGTGAACAATATGCGATTATCGTATGATTGATTCTAGCTGAATCTAATTTATACAAACGTGAAACCTAATCTGTCAAGCGTTGTGATTTTTACTTTGATAAAACAAAATGGATTATACGTAATTCGATAAAATAATATAAAACGGAAAATATTGTTCGTCCACTATTTTCTTATAAAACGAAAGAAACGTTTCGACAACGATATGGGAAAAATACTTTTGCATCCTATCGTGCCTATTTTATCTTCCAAATATTACAAGAGTATCACGATTCGAATGTTTTATCTAATAAATAAAATCGAATAATTTCTATAATATATTTTGCCATATTACGTGCATTCTATACGGTAGACATCGATCGCTTTCAATTTACTAAAAATGCGCAGAAATGCGCGATCTATTCGTAAAACCCGATACGCAACTCGCATGTGTTTGCCAATTCGTCGATGCTACTAATTCGATAAATTATCGTGAAATTTCTGGCCTCCAGCGCGGTTGCTCGACCGGAACGATGAATAACGGCGGCCGATTTACGGTCCGAGGCGGCGAACTGAAGGCAGACGAGTTTCCGTCACGAGGAAAAACAACGATAAACCGAATAGAGCGTGAAACACGGTCCATGCGTGCGTGAACCTTTCGACTGGTAACAGAATCGCCGCAACAGCCACGTAGACGCGCGCAACGACTCACAGAGAAAATGACTCGACGAATAAAAGAAAGACGTCTCTACGGACTAGCCATTTCACGATTCCATTGTAGTCGGTTGCAATTACGTGGCGAGGCGGCGCACGGTATAATTACGCGATAACCGGGCCAACAGGAACAGTAGTCTCGATTCAACGCCTCGTCTTTATCGACGACGGGATAATTTTTAGTCCGATGAAGCCGCGTCTGGCGGCTTAACGCTAGTTACGAAGTTAGCTCCATGGTAATTTCCAGTTTGCGGAATTCCTGTCCTTTGGCCAATGCTGAATTTCGTTTCCTCCGGCTTATTTCTCCATTATGAAGTAATTATGCGCGTTCTCTTCATTTTTCTATCCGTACAGCCGTTCACAGTGCAGGCAGCAACGTTGGATAAATTTAACAGCGTAAACGCGAGGACACTGCTTCGCGTTTTGCCTCGTCTCTCGTATATATTCACACTTTACCGACTGATAGCCGATTAATCGGCTTTCTGTCGCCAACTCTTACCGACCGATAGCCTATTAATCGGCTTTTTGTCACCGACATTATTTCACATTATTCGAGCAGTAATTCGTTATTTGGTTCTAAGGTACTTTGCTCAGTTGCGTCAGTCGCGTCGCTTCGTAAGCTCCCACAGTTTTATACCAATTTGAAAAACTTGCCGTTCGCGATGAACGAAAAGAATGGTATTGGAGAGTCTAAACCGAAACAGAGCTAGTGCTAGAGAGAATTTGCGCCTGAGTTACCAGTCAGACTAGTGATCAATAAGTGTTAATCAAATCGATGGAAATCGATGCGAAGATCTACTCGAGAGAAACAGAGAAATAAGAAAAGAGAGAGAGAGAGAGAGAGAGAGAGAGAGAGAGAGAGGTGAGAGAGAGAGAGGGCTTATTTCTCCATTATGAAGTAATTATGCGCGTTCTCTTCATTTTTCTATCCGTACAGCCGTTCACAGTGCAGGCAGCAACGTTGGATAAATTTAACAGCGTAAACGCGAGGACACTGCTTCGCGTTTTGCCTCGTCTCTCGTATATATTCACACTTTACCGACTGATAGCCGATTAATCGGCTTTCTGTCGCCAACTCTTACCGACCGATAGCCTATTAATCGGCTTTTTGTCACCGACATTATTTCACATTATTCGAGCAGTAATTCGTTATTTGGTTCTAAGGTACTTTGCTCAGTTGCGTCAGTCGCGTCGCTTCGTAAGCTCCCACAGTTTTATACCAATTTGAAAAACTTGCCGTTCGCGATGAACGAAAAGAATGGTATCGGAGAGTGTAAACCGAAACAGAGCCGGCGCCAGGAAGAATCCGCGCCTGAGTTGCCGGTCGGACGTGCGTATGCCGTTGAAACGCTAGCGGTCAGTAAAGCGTTAATCTCGATAAATTGAAGTTAAAATATCAAATTAATGGTTCTTAGGGATTAAGCAATAGGTTGTATTTTTTCGTGGAGAATGTCCAGCTGCATCGACCAACGTCGTAAAAAATACACGGTGCCATTGAAGAAACTAGAGTTTTAGTATCGAGACGCGTTGACATGCGAGAAAATACAAGATAGTGGAAAATAAAATTGCATCAGCCCGATCAGTGTCTTGAAACGCAACATGATTCGTTCAACACGTTTTTTCGATCAAAGCAATAAATAACATATTATCTGAGGTAGTATTTCTTATCGACTGACAGTGTATATAATAGAAGACGCGAGATATTTATTGGAAATATACGTTCGCGCAGGTGATGAAAACGTAGAAATCCTCAATTGTTGATTATACTGACAACACTGATAATAGGAAAGCTCACAAGCTACGGTTTCTACCTTTTCAACTTGCCAATATTTATCGTTAGTTAGGAAATTGTACAGGGAAGACTTTCAATTGTTTTTATCGGGTCGATTCCAATTTTTCCATCGGTTTTTCGGAACAGCTTACGTATAATTGGTATCGTGCAATTTGCAGTACGCACAGTCGCGCGAGAATAAACATTTCTGCGATAGGAAACTAACATTTTTACGATGGGAAATTAATTGAACAAGAAATACGGAGACACGGTAACATTTTCAGCGTGGCCTAACTTTCCGAGAGAATCTCTTCGATTTTCACTTACAAATGCTCACGATATAATTCCATCGATAACAAATTTGTCAGAATGACGCTGCAACGTTTAATGTAACACTGAATCAACGATCCTTGACGACAGTTGCGAAATATTTTAAACTCGAGCAGACTAAAACTTATATCCGCGCATAGAAACTAAATGCCGAACGAATAAACGGCGATTTAAATTGCGTAAAATGGTAGAATCGAAAAATTCAATTTGAAAAATCAATTTAAAGTTGATGGAAGATTTTTCAAAATGACGTGAATGGAATGAGATTGCTAGCTAGCCGAGTGAAAAAAAAAGATAGAAAGGACAAGGGATATTTTCAACGCTCGTCCAATGTCCTCGGTTATAATCGCGGACGTAATATATACGCGAGCGTGGTGATAATTCACCGCGTTGCTCGACAAAATATATCTGCCATAGCGTAGGTAACCGCAATCGTGCCGGATATGGCGTAAAAAATGCAATTTCCAATTTCTATCTCGCAACCTTGAACGGTGCGGTCTATCGCGATAAGCTGGCCGAAATGTTCCAAAGTTGCTCCGTGGAAACGATCTGGTCATCGGTGAGATTCTTGTAATCGACAGATGAAAACGACAGCGTCTTTCTTTTTCCCAATTCCGAGAAGAAAAATTCCAGCTGAAAAATTCACTCGTCTCGCGACATCGTTAAGTTTGCCACTGGAGGTGGTGACGCGGTAAATTCACAAACTTGGAGCGCTTCGAGGTGCAAAATCCGAGCGTGACGATATCGTAAACAACGCGCGTCAAAACGAAATCCATTCTCCGGCGTGAATAAATCATAGGATTATCAGCACGGATCCCACGTAAGTTACTGCCACTTCAGGCTGACTTTCGTGGTCTTACTTCAAGAAGAAAAGAGGGAAGATTCCGCTAAGAAAATGGAGATGCTGTTCCTAGCTTGTAAAACTCGACGGTTGCACCGGCTCTCGTCTATCGACCGCGTTTCGAGGACCGTGCAAGGAACTCGTTAACCGGAAATCGAAAGCAAGTTTGTTCGATTTTTACGGGAAACCGAGGGAGGAGAAACAGAGAACGAAGATATTCTACGAGTTTCGTTTAACGGTCTGCAATTGGATATGTTGCAACAAACGATTCTACGAATAACGAAAACGGTATTAACGAACAGTTACGATTATAATCTTACGATTACAATGAGAATATTGCAACGAACGCGAAAAAAGTGGATACTTTTTAAAACGATTGCATAGTTTGTAAATATCTCGGTGATTATTAATTTTTGATACTATATCGTATAACGTGTTCCTGAGTAAAATTTGATGCTTTGGTCGAATTCGCGGAGAAACGTCAGGCATTCGATTTAAAAGATTGATGGTGGCCATCGTCTGACGATAAAAAAAGCAAAGTAACAACAAATCGATTGCGGCACTGTACGTCCCCCAGGAAACAATGCAACTTTTGTTTGAAACATTTTTTTCTTGTTTCCACCAAAGCTGTACCATTAGCTTAACTTTTGATGAAAACGGCTCCGTATACAGCCGAAGACAAAAATAAATGGACAGGTATTTTTATCGCGTATTCTATTCGATTAATGTTGAAATTAATTATCTGTTGAAAACAAGCACAAAAGCGGTGCCTCGCGTCTTTCATACGATAAGTTTCACAAAGTAAAAGTTGAAACATCTATCAAACCAGTAACTTTTTGACGTAAGTAGCTCGATAATTTTTTATACAGAATCCTTTACGGAGCTGATCAATGTATTAAGAAATATATAATTCCATTTAAAGAACAAAAATTCGCCTTCGCCTTTGCGCGTCCATCTACAAAATAACAAATAACATGAGAATATGCCCCCCTTGAAGCCATTCGACTTTTATCCGAAACATTTTTCCATGTAATTAATAATAACGAAAATATCTCGCCTTAAACTCCTAGGTAACTCGCCCTTCATCTTTCATTTTTAAATTTCATCTCAATCCACTTATATTTCTCTCCTCGATTGTACACGCATCGAAGCAAATATTTGTAAATTGAACGCTTCGATCCGTAGCTCTCCTGGCGGCTGGCGGGCATAATTCAGACGTCGAGGTATCTGCAAGCGATGAAAATTCTGAACGGTACCGCGGCCACGGAACAGGCAACGCCGCAGTTGGAAGAATGCGTGAAGCGACAGCTGGCGACTTCCGGTGCACGAACCGGTTCCCGCGAGGTCGCGGAACAGGTGGTCAACCAGCTGGAAAGAACTCTGTACGACTTTCCGTGTCTACGGGGATGCGTAGAGGTGAAGAACTACGCCGATGCTTGTTCCAGTTTGGCCTGGGCCTGTCTGGCGCGTGTCACGCCTTTGGTCCTCGACGTGGCTCAAGCTTTGGAATTCAGACGAGAGATTCATCTGAGGCATCACGCCTCTCCGGATCCGAATGGTACGAGAATTAAGACAGTTTTGTGGCCCGGTTTGAGGGAAGGCTGTCAAGGACCCTGCCTTCACAAGGCGGTCGTTCTTACTTCTTAACATTAACACGTTTTTACCAGTATGTCGATTTCGGCTGACTTTTCCAGTCACGCGAATCGCCTTACTTTAAATCGAGATATACGTAAAATACGTAAGTATACTGGCCATAAGTATTACGTACTTATTACAATTATTATGCAAAACTTTAACGAATTTTATTTTATTCGATATTTTATATTATAAAGCATAAAGTATGATGATAAAGAATGAATTATTTATAATGAAAGAGCGGAAGGCATTCGATCTAAGGTACCCAATATCGCCAAGTGTCAAAATACTTACGCCCATTAAGAAGTCTAACTTCTGCTGTGAGACACATGCGGTTGCGACTAGATGGTTATGCAAATGCGATATTGTTACTTATGTGTGATAAATATCAACTGGATTGCATGACTAGATCGCGTATTAATCCATTGAAAACCAGGTACAGTGAAATAGTACACGGTATATAGAAGTTGAAGAACAAAATAAATACGAAGTAACTACGTTCAAGATGCAGAAAATGTAATGTCCAAATTAACGTTAAAAAAAGACAGAAGAAAGGTGCAAATGCGATACTATGGTCAATTATCATTGTCACCTTTATATAAAGTGGTCTCAAAATGTATCCGCACACCGTTCTATATATCGTAACATTTATCTATGTAGTAAAATTCATTGAGTTCAAGTGTATTATATCGTATTAACGTTGGTTCTTAATGGATTACAGTATGTTAGGCATATAGCGTCGTATAAGCAACGTCCTTTGAGATACGTGCGGTTAAGGAATTCTCGCTGGGAAATTCAATTGAAAACGCGTAAACTTCTACGATGCTGCTTCGAATCGAAAGAAAAAGAAGTTGATTTTTAAGTGGAAAGATAAAGTAAAATATGATAAATAGATAAACGGATAGAATCAGAAAGTAAGTTAGAGTCGTGGAGATCATGAAGAGGAAATGCAGACGATGTGGAGTGGGATGTACGCCACTGGCTGCTCCAATTTCCACGCGTGCCTCGTCGCAGTCTTGAATTTCCCAAGGGGAACTGGAATTACATTTATACTCCGTCTTATGTAACAGAAACGCGTCGCACTCTTTACCCTCTAGCGAGATAGGGTTTTAGCGTTAGCGGCGTGATGAGATTCTTTAATGCCACACGATCTCGCGCACGGTGCTCTCGTTGCTAAACAAGTCACAGTTGTTTGCACGATCGAAGATTCTTCGCGGGGATTTTGCAAATAGAAACGAATACCAATTACTTACGCGCGTTTTGATCTTTTTAACGCTATTCGATCTATTAGAGACGAATGATTTATTAAAGATATTGCAAACCCAATATTTCATTTGCGATTTCCTTTTAGTCCGTTCACATTAATAAAGTCACATTAATCTTTCACATTGTAATTATAAAAAAGAATTTACTTAATATCTTTTTCGTTACTATTTCTTCTTTTATCTAGATTCCGCGATTATACGCGTTTTAAAGAAATTGAACTACTATATAGCATTATGATAAATTAGTTTTTCTTTTTGTGCCTTCGATTTGCGTAATAGCGTCTGTAATGTATATATTATTCTAATACGTTGTTTGTACCTTGATAAAAACAATAACTTACTTTATATTACGTTACTTACGGTTTCTAATAAATTGTTAATTAACGTTGTATTTACACAACTTTTGGACATTTCTTTATTGCTTGCCCTTAATGGATTAACTGCTACCAACCTTTTTCAATAGCGACTTCAATTGATTAAAATGGAGAATCTACTACCGAATAATGCATCGAGAGCAAAAATGGATTAACTTCGATGTTCAACAAACTGAATAATTTTCTGTGTAAATTACAATCCGAATATATTTGAGTACTAATGCAAACAACGCAGTTTGTTCCGACGACTTATTTATTTACAAATTTCTTTACAAATTGTTTAAAATGTCGCCCTAACTAACTAAATCACTAACAGATTCTTGCCCGGCGAATCTTATCTCATTCTCCACGACCTACATCTCATATCCCACATTCCATATCATGCATCCCACAACCATTCTCCATACCCAATAAGGTAAGTACACTCATAAGTTGAAACTTTCCATGCTATTATACACACTTATCCTGTATCATGCATTCACTATCCCATATGCATTATCCCAAACCCATTTCATAATTCACATTTCTATTCCATATTCCATACTTCATACATCTTATCTCACATCCTATATCATGCATCCTGCAACCAATACTTCATTCTCCATGCCCAATAAGGTAAGTACACTCATAAGTTGAAACTTTCCATGCTATTATACACACTTATCCTGTATCATGTATTCACTATCCCATATGCGTTATCCCAAACCCATTCCATAATTCACATTTCTATTCCATATTCCATACTTCATACATCTTATCTCACATCCTATATCATGCATCCTGCAACCAATACTTCATTCTCCATGCCCAATAAGGTAAGTACACTCATAAGTTGAAACTTTCCATGCTATTATACACACTTATCCTGTATCATGTATTCACTATCCCATATGCGTTATCCCAAACCCATTCCATAATTCACATTTCTATTCCATATTCCATACTTCATACATCTTATCTCACATCCTATATCATGCATCCTGCAACCAATACTTCATTCTCCATGCCCAATAAGGTAAGTACACTCATAAGTTGAAACTTTCCATGCTATTATACACACTTATCCTGTATCATGTATTCACTATCCCATATGCGTTATCCCAAACCCATTCCATAATTCACATTTCTATTCCATATTCCATACTTCATACATCTTATCTCACATCCTATATCATGCATCCTGCAACCAATACTTCATTCTCCATGCCCAATAAGGTAAGTACACTCATAAGTTGAAACTTTCCATGCTATTATACACACTTATCCTGTATCATGTATTCACTATCCCATATGCGTTATCCCAAACCCATTCCATAATTCACATTTCTATTCCATATTCCATACTTCATACATCTTATCTCACATCCTATATCATACATCCTGTAACCAATACTTCATCTTTCATACTTAATAAGGTAAGTACATTCATAAGTAGCAACTTATCATGATATACGTACATTTCTATACCCTACATCCAACATCGTATCGTTTTCCACAAAGAAAAGTTATCCCCACAAAATGAAATTGAGTTCCTGCGAATTATCCACAAAACGCAATTCATTTCCCACAAATTTCTCAGAAATCCCACAAGAAATTGACACTTCCCGCGAGCGAAATTCGCCAGCCCGCGAAATGAAGTTCGTTGCCCACAATTTCCCACAAAAGCCCATAAAAAATTGACACTTCCCACAAACGAAATTCGTCATGCCACAGTTAGGTGTCGCGGTGTTAATGAAATTTCAAAACGTTTCCTATAAAACGTTCGATATACATATTCATAAAAATTTGTATGCTAAGTGTTCGAATATCTTTATGAACTACTCTACGAGTATGTTTCAATTCAAAACTTAAACTCACATCCAGAAGAAACGCGGCTTTGTCGATGTCGTCGATGCGTCCATGAATAATTGCACTTCGTGCAAAAATATCTGTCGTGCACTTCAACATCGAGTCGTGTTGCACGGTTACTTCCACCTAGAATCAGAAGTTACCAGGAAACTGTCCGTAAAACTTTTCTCGCGTCAGATGCTCCACCTTCGAAAGAAACCCTGCCCTGGGGTATCGCTGAGATTTTGTATTAGACGAGGAATAGTAGCCACAGATGCTTTGGAAATATCGATGTATCAAGTCGGTAGCAGGCAGCCACACGGCGAAACTTGTCGGTTCTTGAACTTTCGAATTCTTTACACGAGCGCGCTGCGATATCTTCCCCCTCGTCGTTGATATAATGCGGAGAAAACTCGAGGAAAAATGTCTCTCTTGCGATCCTCTTCGCGTAGGGCAGTCCATTTTTTTTGCGAGGGTAATCAGATCATATAAGCGCTTTAAATCTCGCGATAAATCATTTCGTGAGTGGAGCTATACGTCGAGCATAGTAATTCTGGGCGTAGTTAATCCATTAGAAACCGCATAGCGAAGTAAGTGTAAAAATTACGTATACGGAATATTATTGAAGAATGTACAAAAGTACAGAGCTATGCAAATCTATACAACGATCAATTTTTGGAACATTTGAATATACGTATAATAATGTGGATCCTTTGTAAAGACGATTGAAAAATAGAGATTGTAAATGCAAGGAATTGTTGCATTTTTATACTCCCAAACTTTTGGTATTATTTTTTATCCAATAAATTCATCGAAAATCGGATAGCGTGAGTTTGGATAGTCAAACTTGTACTGTACTTCGATTTATTCGAAAAGATTCTGGGATGTAGCTAGAAGATGAAAGGGGAATAGAAAAATAGAATTCAATGACGTAAATTGACAGAAGAAACGTTTTAAATGAAAACTTGCGTTAACGCAAACGTTTGCCCTTAGTGGGTTAATGTACTTAAATAAATACACCGTCTCGTATAAGAAAGTTAATGCTTTTGTCTTCTAATGAATATCGCCATTGCTTAAACTTAAGCTGTATTGGATTAGCGTTTAACGATCACCTAATTCCATGTCCATAAGTATTTGAAACTTTCACATTATTGCGGATAAAACTCTTTAATCTAATCTTGGCTTACCATCTTATCTCGGTCAAACATGTATAGTTAATGGATAGTGATGAAAACGATAGTTGATATTAATTAGTATAAATAAAAGAAAAAAGCCGCAATTGAACGAAAAGTAATTATGTGCAGGTGTCTAAGTTCAGTGATTTTAAAACAATTTCGAAACACCACCAGCATATATTTTTATACGTTTATGTGGACCGGTAAAACCATTCATTATAAGTAAATACAGATACTGTGTACTTTAGTTTTCATTCCACGGGAATTTTGTTTTAATATCGTTATTCTGTAATAATACCATTGAAACGTTATTTGTAATCATTGCAAATAATAATTTCATACAGCCAATAATTTTAATTACATTTGTTTAACGTTATTGAGTTCTGAAATAAGAAATATTGTACTATCTCTCTCTCTCTCTCTCTCTGTCGTGAAATTGCAATAATAACAGTAACGTAATTTCCTTTGATTGTTCTAAGGATTAAATTTTATAGAACATTTATAATCTTAATTATGACAAGGATTACAGAATTAACGGTAGAGAGTCGTCTTTTCTGTTACAACTAGGCTGCGGATTTTTATGCAAACGCATACTTTTATAAACCTAATTAAACAAATGGGCTCTACGTATAAATTTACCTCGTCCACTAAATATTATAAAAAATATTATACTTTGAATATCGTCGCGTGTTACGTGCATTCTTGAAATTTGAAAATTCCTGTGAATGTATAAAATCGTTCTAAAAATCTGCGATCTAATTACAACTTCGGAAACTTAATAAAAATATAAATCTTTCGATTGTATTGCAGCAAACGTCCAAATACTTACGAACGGTGGTATACTTTGTCCTCCGTTCTAATACTAAAAACCGGAAACGATCCTAGCGATTAAGAGTTAGGTAAGAAAGTTTCGTTTGAAACACGATTAGCACGAAACAGAAAGCAGTCCAGAGAAATATACAGTGGCCCTAAAAGCCGGCGATTAATGCGACGATTAACGCCGAGCTGCGATAAATTCTTAACGAGCCTGCAAGCACGTACAATAAGTTCTCGAACAAATACGAGGCCCCGTGCGTTTCAAACATTTCGAAATTATCCCGAGCAAACTCGCAAGGAATGCGAGCCAATTCGTTTAAGGCGCAGCGTTGTTATCCTTTAACAGATTGGCTGCCACGCTGGTTATCAATGACTCGCGTAACTTTTCTGAACTTTCAAAAACGATTAAAATAAGATAAATGTCACAGAGCGAAAAATGTTCAACGACGCGAATGGCTTGTAACGTTGTTGGAGAGAAGGCGTGCAAATACGATAATTAATAATAATTTTGGAAAAAATGCAATGTCATAGTGCAGTACACGAGTCGTTCAGAAGGCACGCTGATATCGATTCTATAAATTGAAATGTACAAAAAAACTGACGATACCTATGTGATAATGAACGACTGTCTTTTAAAATTTATATCGGAATTTACCATTATTTGCCATAATCGGCTTCTCCGATAAATAAGCTTATGCAAGCTAATCGGTTGTTCCCTAAAAATTGCGTATTAAGTAATGAAAACTTAATGTGAACTTAAACGTTCACTCAAGTAATGAAATAAAAAAATGAATAAGAAACGGAGTCGTCATATTTTAATCCATCGAGGCTCCCAGAATAAAATGTATGAAATTCGCGTGGCAGTCAACGCGTTAAGCGTATAGTATCAAAGTAACTGATTCGGTTGCAGCTGTCAGGTTGCATTCCCGCGAGTTAACGCGTGTACTTGAAAACACGGTATACGGAGAGAGCCGAGGTTAAAGTACCGTAACGACTAGTCTCTCAGATTTCCAAGGTTTATTATAAATCTCATTTTCTATATACATTATTCATACATGGTTTCAATCTTTCCTGTTTGTGTTCTCGCTTAATGTAACGTGTAGAAAAGTGCATGGAGTGATTACGTGTTTGGCCCTGATGAATTTCAACAGTTGCACTTGAAGTATGAGCATATGAATTTCTACGTAGAAGATGAACGTGCCTCTGTTATTCGATCAAAAAAATGTCATAGAGAGCAGTTTGAAAAATACGTCATACGTATCTATCTATGTATTTCTGTGTATTTACCGTACATGTAATGGTAAAAAGTGAGCTTTACGGCTTTGGTCGAAACACTCGACAGTTTCGTACTCGCAACACGTAATAACGCGAGCTCCGTCGAGTCTCGAGTATTTACATCGAATTTAATAAACTTTCGATCTCAAATGTTTCGCATTGTCCCATCTACATAACAATCGACAATCAATCGTTCAACAAAGAACAGTATCGAGCGCGCTTCACGAACAGCGACGAGCTGTGGAATCGCACGCGATTTCCTTCCAAGTCGTTTCGAATCCTTTGTAGTATAAGTCAATGTACTGCTACTTTTCAAATAAAATAACGTGTGCTGCATTTATCTTTTTCAAGAAGTTCGCATTGTATCAAGTCGTCGCTCTAGAAAATAAAATTAATATTCGATTAATTACGAAGCTAGAGAAATGACACTTTGAAAGATTGGAACAGGTCCAAATTTCCAAAATCTTGACTTATACTACTATGACTTTCAATCCACCGAATGAAGACCACACAGGAAAAGATGTAGTAAATCTATGCTACTTGATTTTCTGATTTTTATCCCACTTAGTGACAAAAAAATGTATTTTGATATGGGATATTTAAAAATGGAAATAATCTGATAGAAGATGTAAGCACTTTGAATATTGATTTAGCCGTTGTATCTTAATTTAGTTGATACCTTTTACATGTTCAAGAGAAGAACACATTTAATTCTAAAATCAAATACAAAAGTAGATCTTTTTATATAGAATCGATTGAAAATAGATCGAGTCCTAAAATTGTTCCATAAAAGGAAGGAATTATGTGACTTACGATATTTTCGATTGTGGCCTTCGTAGGGAAATTTACTCGACGTTGATTGACAAATCTAATATTTTTAAATATTTCTAGCTTCATCGCTGAACATGGCAAGCGCTGTCCATAAAATACGAGCTATCTCGCAACAATGATTTATCCTATATAAATATGTAAAATTGCCACTACGATCTCGTTAGTTTGAGATTTTCGTGAATTCCGCGATAAAAAGTATGTAAGCTCTAGAATTGCTTCGACAAACGGACGCACAGGGTAAACAGGGTATTTTATACAATACCCTCAAGTTTCCAATTGACTTAGTTACCTCGTTCATCGAAACGTAAACTTATCCCTCCTAAAAAATGTATTCTCTGATGCTAATCGACTTACGTCTACACTGTAAGAAAATATACTTTCTAACGTCAAAAAGTAAAATAATTTGTTGCATCGTATCTCTTATAATATGTAAACTGAAGCGGACGAAACGGACAAAGAAAAAAGTATGATTTATTTTCCCGTTGACTCGCGAACAATGTTATCTTGTACATAAACGAGAATCGATCGATGCGATCAAACTAATCCACGCGAACGATATATAGCATATTCGAAAAATATATCTTATCCATTGTATGATTATATACCGTAAATTTCCTATTCGATGAAATAGCTTTTTCAAGTGACGAGAAGGGGGATTCTACCATTACATATTTCCTATAATTACATTCTGTTGTTTGTATAAAATATACTCGACCGCTAGTTACAAATATAAGACTTAATAATATACACATAATATATATAGTCAAAGTTTAAAAGATTATTCATTAAGAACGCGATGTCTTTTCATGAGCCTCTGAAGTGTAGAATTGCACGGTCTATTATACGTATGTAACTCGTATGAAGAGTAAAAATGCTTTAGAAAATGTACGGTGCTATAAATATATTTCCGTAAAAAGGAAGAAGAACAAACATAGAAACAGATACGAATAAATGAAAAAACATGTTCTCTTTACGCTATTAAAGAAAAATAATTCAGCGTTGTAACTCGATAATATGTTAACGCATGTATGTACCTAGTATGTTTGTGAAGACGCATGGGATGGCACGAATCGCTGCCTTCGTGTGAAAAGATATATAAAACTCTTTTTCATCGATGGTGCGATTCGATGGTAATTTACATGATAGCACACCATTTTTTGCTACCTTCGTTCGCTGGTTTACTATTCTCGTCCAGTTCCAATCTACCAGTCTTAAATTTCAAGTCTGAAATCGGGGTAGAAACTTGTATAGGCTTGCGTAACCCTTTCAATAAACTGATAGGACTATGTAACAAGCTGTTCTCAGTTTCAGTTTTCTGCTTTTTCATAGAATTCCAGTCTTCGGTGTCAAGTTTTCGTTTTCTTTCGCTCGAACTACCATTTGTGGTAGAAAGTGTGTCAGATAAATCGGTACTATAACGAAGAATCTTAAAATCCATTGCTTCGTCCTGCGGCAACGATGCGCTCGACGTATTGACGAACATCGAATCGCTCGGCGAGTACCTATACTCGCGTAAAGTCACGTGACGCATTCTGCTGAGAGAACGCCGGCCAGAAATGCTTCTCAGCGTCTTCCCGAAGGACATATCCTTCGGCGGCTGGCTCGACATACTGTGACTAGCGTTACTCGTGTCGAATAACTTCGAATTCTCTTTTAAACAATCGTTCAACTTAATCTGCACGTCCTTCAACATTATCGAAGGATCGTACGAAACGAACGATATATTCTTGCTGATGCTTTCCTCGGCTATTTCCATTTCCTTTTCCTTTTCCTTCTCGACATCATTCTGCGATAAAATTTCAGATGCTTCAGATATTTCCGACGTTGTGAACTCTATGACATCTGCCGAATTACTTTCCGTGTCGGTTTGAGATTCGCTTTGCAAGTCTTCCTTCTCATGTATGTCGTCTTTTGTCATCTCCTGTTCAGGAGGGCATTTTTCATCATTTTCCTTTTTTAAATCTACATTGTCTGTCTTTTCTGTAATTGTGTTTTCAATATTATTTTCTATTTCAAATTGTAAATTGAGATTGTTCTCCTGGCAATCTTCCTGATTTTTATCAGAATTGCTTGCTTCCTTCTGGCATTCCAATTGCTCTTTCTCGACCATTACTTCTGCGTTTTCCAAATCATCCTGTGTTTTCAACATTGAAATGGATTCGGAAGGAGTATCACTAACATACTCCTTATCAGATTCCTGTGTATCTTTAGAACTATCATCTTTAGTATATTCCACCTGTACAGTTGGATTTAGCTTTGGATCTGCTTCTTCTGATTCTGGCTGCATCTTTGCAGAGTTTGATTCTTCACTTTGTTGCGAAACGATTGATTTTTTTTCCTTAGAGCTTCCAGCTGTTTTATCTGGATTTCCTGTTCCCTGTTTTGCAGAACGTTCTAATTCAACTTTCATTGGCTCCTGAATTTTGCTCTATAACAAACATAATATTCCACATATTTAGCAAGTGAGTTAACATTTGAAGATTTTTAAATGATTAAGAATTAGAAGATTAATGACAAGGCTTAAAGTGATATTAGATATAAAGAAATAATGTTAGATATAAGATAATAGAATATAAAGAAGATAAGAAATGATTAAACTCACTTTAAAGTTTTTCCTTTGATTATGTGATACTCTCTTTATTAAGGTATTCAATTTAGATCTGAAATAAAAGTATTGCAATGTTCAAAATCATTAGAAAAAAATTATATAGATATTTATAATCAATCTCCACAGAGCAAGAAATTCTGGAGGTGATGAGAGGTACTGATCCAAAAAAAAAAAACTTGACAAAGCAGCTAAACCAAAGTTTCTCCCCTGCATCTATTTAACAAACCTTAGACCTATACGTTTTCGCCTATTTGCCCATTTATTCCCAATTATTTCTAGCTTATAGTCATACAACAAATATTTCATCAATTTTCTCAATAAATTTGTTCGCAATTTGTGTAGCTTAGTTTACATACGTAAATCAACTGATTGTGAGAGTTGAGAAATTCGAAAAAATATATGAGAAAATATAAAAAGTCTCAATCTATGAAACGTTTATAAGATATCAATGTTTATCTTCTGACAAAATTGGGTAACACTTGTCTCGGATATTTCAAAGAAAAAAAAACACGTAGCATCAAAGAAAGATTATCCACAGGCGGCAGTGTGTCCGGCGACGTGTGTAGAAAGACGATCAAAAAAAGATTTGTTATACTCGAGACGCGTTTAACTCGAATAACTCGAATGAGACAGAATGAGAAAAAGGAGGTACTAACAAGCGAGAAGACTAAACAGAGAAACTATGGATAAACTTGTTGTTCGCTGGGCTGATTGGTTTTACAAACCTGTTCGAAATCTTGGATTTGTGCTGTCTCTTGCGCAAGCTAGTTTCGGAAGGATTTGGCGGCGCGGTCGTTGCCTTCAGTCTCCGATTGTACAAATTCCTCTCATCGCCCCCAGGTGTCGCCTTCTTTGGCGTCTTACCCATAACGTTAGCGTACGTTTACGTCTTGGCTATTTAACTCGTTTAATCTTTCCACGCCCTTTTTCGTAGGTCTACCCTCACCCACGTAAATGCAACAAGCCCCTGTCGTTTAGTTACGGAAGACCGAGTTTATCTACCTGTGCCTTTACTTTGCCTTTTACCTACAGATATATATCTCGATCGTTCTTTTTCTCTATTTCTGTGTCTTTAGTTTTGTTCCCCGTTCACTTATAACATTACGTACTTGAGTATAGAATATTATTCGAAAAGCACATCGCAAGACGCAATAATATATCGTAACTTAAGAATTAGCGTACATGATTCACACAGACGCCATGTAATACGCAGCTTGATTTCGAGACCGTGTAAATGTACGCGCCAAGATCACGTCGAAACAGCCACCTCGAAAACTCATACAAATTTATCGCTAGTTTTCGAGTCACTATCGCTCTGGAACTTCTTAATTGGATTAAGATATTTTACGTAACTGATCCAGCGGAGATACGTATTCAGAGGAAAGTGTCAACGCCGTACGCTAACCATACACGTGCACACACTCACGACCGGCTACTTTATTCCTTACTTCGATACTAGCGGTAAATTCCGTTGACAAATAACGCAATCCGACACGAGTATGGCGCAGCGCTGCTGTCGTTTGCCGCGTTGGTCCCGTTTTACATAAAACATGCACTTAAATGAAAGGATTAGACATATTTCTGGCACACTACATGGCAAAGTCATATTTCATGAAGTTCTACGTAGTATATATTGTGATTTATGAGTTAAAATTAATCGATTGATATATAATATGTAGTATGTTTTTCTATATTTATATATTATATTATATATAGTTCAGAATATTGAATATTATTTTATAATATGTTAAAAAAACACTAATTTAAGATGCACTAACTATACTTACTATAAAAACATATCATGTAAATAATAGATAGTAAAAACTAATACGTGTAAATAGAAAAATGTTATAATATTAAGAGAAAATGTGTATAACTATATAATATATATAATGTCTATAATTACTGTTCTCTAACTTTAAATACATAAATATGTAAATAAGGGAAAACAAAGACTATACAAATCATAAAGTACAACTTGATAAAATTGATTATGTTTGCTTATTTCAAATGTTCATTGATATTTGATTATTAGGCTGTGGATATTCATGCATTTATTTTTTTATCAAATGATTTAAAAAGTGAAACTTAAATAAGGATTTGTTTCGTGTAATAAATAAAATATTTACACCTTTTAATTTTCCATAAATGCAGAAATATTCAGTCTATCCGAAGGTAAACAAATTTTATTTTCAGATACACTCTATTTATAGTTACTTATAATTATGAACAGTAAATTTCAATATTTTTTAAAAGATATGTATGACGATATTCAAATTTCAAAAAATGCAAAAAAACATGATACTAATTATGTTATATACTAGTTATGTTATGTACTAGTTATGTGCTTTTATGGTATAGTCTTCATGTACCTTTTGTTACTAGGATTACATGGCAACACTGATTTTTACCGATAAAAGTATCTAGATATAGTGAAGGAATATTTGAATTTTGACTGTTAACCAAATAGCTTCAGTGACTAATTTCAGGATATCGAAAATCATGGAATTGATGATTCCGATAGTTGGTTTTACAGATTACGCGTCATAATTATCGAAGAGTATAACTGCTACTTTAGTATTCGAAGTACTATTGTGCTCGTATGAAATATATAAAATGAACGTATTATCGTTTTGGATATTAATTAGTGTATTGGAATTAGTAACAGCAGAATGGAACACAAAAGACTATATGAAACGAGAACATTGTTTGATCAGACCATATCAAGGTTTGTGAATTTTGAATAGTTTTGTTGAGATTACGGTTTGTGGTACAACGTGTCATGACGTGCATATTTTTGTATTTATAATGAGATGAATATGATGCAAATGTACATATATGCTATAATAATAGCAAGCTTGAGGTTACATTAGTAAAATAAACAATAACAAAGACAAAATGTAATTTTATTACATTGATGAAGCCTGATGTTAATATATCTAAATATTTTACGTATTTAGGGTCTGGAATGACAATACCTTATTGGGATTTTATGGGTAGTACAATGGTTACGAATAACTATATAAGATTAACTCCAGACTCACAAAGTAAACAGGGTGCCATATGGAATTCTGTTGTAAGTTTCAAGTTTTTTGGTAATTTAACAAAGCAAAATCACAGAAAATTGTGCTTCAATTTTTTTCCACACATTTTTAAATTCATACAAGATTTTATTTAGTTAAAACTATCAGGATGGTGCAATTGAAGCCTAATAGAAATGCTTCCCTGACATTTGTTTATTTAGCCATGTCATGTAAGAAATTGGGAGCTTCAAGTTCATTTCAAAGTTCATGGAAAAGGAAAAGATTTATTTGGTGATGGTTTTGTAATTTGGTATGCAAGAGAAAGGATGAAAACTGGTCCTGTTTTTGGTAATCAAGATTATTTCCAAGGATTAGCTATAATTTTGGATACATATAGCAATCATAATGGTCCACACAATGTATGTACATAATATAACATTAGTTATATTATAAATTAAAAATGTTAAAATCATGATAACTATTTTGGTTTTTATAGCATCAACATCCTTATATTTCTGCTATGGTCAATAATGGTTCTTTGCATTACGATCATGATCGTGATGGAACACATACACAAATTGCAGGTTGTGAAGCAAACTTTCGAAATTTAGAACATGATACACATATTAGTATGAGATATGAAAGGGATACATTAACTGGTAAGTACATATTAGTATAGAATATTTTTGGGCATGACAAAAATGTTGTCATGTAACTGTGTATAGCGTCCCATTATACATATACTAAGTAAAAGAGTATTTCGATACTGTATTTTACTAATAAATGAACCTTTTCATTCATTTGTACTCAACTAATATCCCCAATGTTAATAATATTCATCTTACTCTTCTTGAAATAGATGTTTATAGCTATGCTTTCTATGTATTCTATCATTTTATGTGGTATTCTACAAATTGACATTACAGTAAGGTCTTACCCTGAAGCCTTGTGGCTTACATCATGGAGTGCCTCCACTTCAGCAAGTGATATTTTCATCTTTTCATATATTATTTGTCATCTTTTCAGTTTACTTCATTTCACATATCATTGAAAATATTGCAAGTAAATAATTAGATGTAATAAATGTATTATACCTGCAATATCTATATTTAAACAAGTGACGAATTTGCATGGAGTTTTATAAACTAAATATATAAAAAAATATCTGCTTATGTATTATATATATTTAGTTAAATTTATATAATTTTTATTCCTTATTTGTAATAAGCATGGAATAAACCAGCTTAATATGCATAGAATAAATATAAAATATAATATATACTCATATTTTGGTAAATGTTTTCCAACATGTTGTTTTATTATAGTTTCCACAGACTTTTCAAACAAAGCTGCATGGAAGGAGTGCTTTTCTGTGAAAGATATAAAGCTGCCTACAGGATATTATTTTGGAATTTCGGCAACAACCGGAGACTTATCCGATAATCATGATATATTATCTATTCGTTTATTTGAATTAGATTTACCAGATGATGTAAGTGGTATTTTTTAAGTACTTTAAACAATTCTTAAATGTGTATGGTTATTCATGTCAATACATCACATTTCAATTCCAGCCAAGAGATCAAGAGGATAGATCCAATATTTTACCATCGGCTGCATATTTTGATGCACCTCGCGGTACGTAATAAATGTTGTATAAAATGTATTTGATGAAATATTCTTGTATTCATTTTAATCATACAATTCTCTCTTTACAGAACACGTGGATGATCCAAAACAATCTGCATTAAGTAGAATAATGTTTTTCCTTTTAATGCTCGTAGTAGCGCTCGCATTAATTGCCTGTGTGGTAATAGGTATAATGTGGTATCAGAAGCATCAAGAAAACAGTAGGAAACGTTTTTATTAAATCACAGTGTGTTATATATAAACTATTCTACTTTTGGATTTCTCGTTTCTATCGGATATTCTTTCTATAAAAAAACAAGATGTAGTCATAACGTGTTCATAAGACTGTTTCTCTTAATATTAGAATAACAAACACAATATCCATACATATTATCTCTGATTTTGAGAATATCGTTCCAGAGGTATTTTGATGAAAAAACGACAGCAAAGGATCGTAATAATATATAAATGATTACAGCAGTCATAAGACGTGTTGAATTATGCTATCCGCTATTCTAGTTCCAATAATGTTTATCATGAACAATACAAAGTTCCTTTACCAAAGTTTTCATGTCATTGTCTCAGTTGCTGCAATGCATTTTTTATAGAAATAAGTTTAATTATTCGCGTAAGAATTAAACATACCGATTTTATGCTTCAAATGAATTTTAGTTTGGAAATTCAGTAATTACAATAATTCAATCACAGGAGACAAAAGTAAAAGAATAAGTTCTCTGAAGTAATATCACAATTCACATCGTTACTGCGAAACATCGTACATCACTACAATATTATGAATAGCAAAACGAATTCTAGAAAGAATTATTCCTCTCTACAAAAGCGTTCTTCCTCACTTTAACCTATCTTTATATCTGTGGATTCGGTATGATTGAAATGACTTTATCGGTGTAGATTTTATATTTGTACATAAAAAAGCAACATTATCAATATGTGAGATTAGAGTGATTTCGTGTTGTGCAACTCGGTTTTATACAAAAGATGAAGGGAACCAAAATCTCCAAATAAACAATTGTTAAGAAACGTAATGTTATTATTTGTGAAAATAATGTACTTCACTTGTTGCCAAATACGAAAAATAAATACAATAATTATAAACATTGTAAAAACAATTATCTTAGAAAAAACAAAAAATTATAAATAAAAACAAATATGTATTTCGTATCAAAATATATTCCCTATAAGTTTATAAGCGACTCAAGCAAAACATTTAATATGACAATATTTTTGCTTCTTAAAATATATTTTATTATAAATAATCATATTTATTTGAACAGAAAACATCAAGGCACATCTATATTTGTCTTTTGTTTCTGCTACAATCTTTTACTATTGTCCTGATATGATATATAATGTAACTGTCATTCCTTTTAGACAGTTATAAAACTCTTTAACCATTTATGTTTTTAAAGTCTAGACACTTAACATCAATTTAACAACAATCTTTAACTTCTACACATCATACAAGTATATATCTTTACTACTTCTTCAAATACATATTAATATTCACATAGCATTTACACAAGTAAAGATATTTCAACAACTAAATTAATTTCGAAACATCGTCGAATTTCATAAATCTATGTGAAGGTATTGAGTTCTAAGAAATGAAACAATAATATAGGTACACGTATCACATTTGTTATACTACATATATCGTTTTTAGATGTTGATAGAATTCATTATGCAGATGCGGATGATATTTTCCATTAAAAATTTAGCATTACAAAAAGAGTTGCAATATTTTACTATTAAGTTAAAATAAAATCGAAAAGGTTCCACCTCTCGATTTTTCGAAAACGGAATAGAAAAATATTAAGCGCATTTATCTCTATTACTGGCAGTAATACTTATGAAAATATGTCGATCTTAAAATATACGTGTATATACATATAAGTGTACTCTTTGACGTAAATACTTGATGAGTTTTTAATGAAATTCTAATGCCTGAGGTGTTTGGTAACATCAAAATATGTTTTTTCTTTTATAGATAATAGATAAAAGTAGTTAAAAAATATATTCTTAAAAATCTAATGTATTATGTAAAAAATAATTTCAAATTTAATCATAGAAAAGTAAATAACTGTATAGAGAGAGAGAGAGAGAGAGAGAGAGAATCTTCTTTTATATAATTAACCAAACTTTCATATCTTTTTGAAGAAAAATGCTGAGACTTAATATTTACAACATTGTAAATTCTTTCCTTCTACATTCCTAGCTTTGTCTTTTTCCTGTATTTGTTTCCTTTCTTTATAAAGTCGTTCAATTAATATGTCTTAGCTGCTCTTAATAATACTTTGAAAGGAAGTTCAAGATACTATCGAAATTTATCTCGTTGTAAACAACTTTATCTTAACACTTCACAGAACATTTGATACTGTATATTTTATAGATCGCATAAAATGCAACTATTTAAACATTACGATAGGATTCAACAAAAAGTTCAGGACTGTTTTTATACCTAAACAAAGATCACTTAAAATTGAACTAACCGTTATATGATATTTATAACGTTTGTAAGATTTTAAATCAATAGAGTGACATGCGAGACAACCAATCTCTTCTAATTCAATATGAGGCTCAGATCCGCCGAGTAACGATTCATCTTCTAAACCACTGTTCAGGAATGTACCGGAAAACCAAATTTTATCACCTGGATATATATTTAAACTAAAATTAGTGAAGGAGTGATCCGCGTTCAATAAAATTTCCGCATTGCTTCCCCACATACCACTCTTCATTTTAACCGAGATCTCAAATTCATACTTATTCCAGGCAGGGAAGTGACATTTGTTTCGTCGCCTTTGAATACTTGCAAAATGTTTGCATTTTTCATGTCTTAATTCGCCGCTTGAATCGCAACTATTTATGTATGGTTCACCATACATGCAACTAACTGTGTCTCTAATACCGTCAGGTAGTTTGTTAAACATTGCAGCCATATTATTTTTTATTGATTTTAACTTAATATCTGTTACGTAACCTTCCCATGAAACTAATATTCCTTCCAAATTAGCACATTCAACTTGCACCTGTGCCTTGGACGACAGCTCTTCCCATGCAGGCTGATGACAATGATTTTGATATTGTTCCCATGAAAGTGATGAAACACCTTCATACGTATCTGGTTCTTGTTTGTACTCCATTATCATTGGCCATGATAAGAACATGCCAGCACTAATACCCATGACCAACTATAAAATGTATATAGCAAATAAAACTTTTGTATGTTGTTTTTTCTTTGATTGTTTCATGTTGATATGCTTACCTGAACAACAGTAATTACCCAATTAAGTTTAGGTGTTCGAGTTTTCCTTAAATACCAAGAGGCAAGAAATGGCATTCCTCCCAGTAAAGTAGTTACAACTATTCTCATTGCCAAATCGCTTTCTGACAAATACTTAGCAGCAGCTACGATTGGTAATATGATAGAAGCCAATCCAGCAAGTGGTAAGAAAAGAACCATACCAACTAATGCTAAGGCACCCCTAATTAAGCCGTACCATGTTGCACCTTGAGAACTAAAGATTGCTATCTGCCACCAACTTAAAGTAACACAATGGGGTATTAACGTTTGATATGTTCCTCGCCAATTATCTCGAGCAGCCATTTTTGCGAAAACTGCTGGAATTAGGAGGTAAAAAACTGCACGAAAATTCAAACAAAATTCAATACCGTTACCAACAACGTACGAAGCAAATGTTGGGACTCTTATGTCTAGAAATCTCCAGCCCTGAGCAACTACGATATCTGTTTCGTATGGATACTTTGCCAAGACGTGAACACCGAAACTGAAGAGAGCTAAAAAATCTGGAAATTTGGATGAATCTTTCCATATAAAATTTAACAATGTTATCAATGTTAACGCAACCGCTATGATAGTGAATTCTGACTGAGGTGTCCATTGATGAGCTATGATGGGATAGATCATTAAATTTAAGAGTAAAGCAAGGAAAAAATGACCATAAGGCTTGAGATTCTTACAGCAGAATTGGTACTCTGCTTCATCGGGGTTTAAATTCCCGCCCGAATAACTGAGAAACAACCCGGACCAAATACGAAAATTATTGAACTCGCGTTTTCGCTGTAACATTTGAAAAGTAGCGACAACCATAACAACGAAAGATAAATAGTATAGAGCCATTGGTATAAAGAGTAGGAGACTTTCTGTACCAAATAATGAGTACAGCAAGAGAAGTAATAGTATGTGTATATTCGATGTGAAAAAAATTTTCTTAATTGACATTCCCCTTTGACCTAACGTTTCAATTAACCAAACATATAAACGTTTCAAAGATGCAAGGGGATGGATGAGAGGCCTTTGTAGTAATGGTATAGTATCTAAAGCCATTTGAGATGGATCTACCATACACAGTGCATGTGACACTATTGGGAGCATACCACGAGCATAGCTAGCAGCAGCAGAGACCAGAGCTGCCTCTGTAATTTTCTCTCCTTGATGATCCATCCAATCTAGAAAATATAATCCCATAAATAAATAATTAATAGAGATCAAATAATATAGATACTAGATATTTCCTTACCATGAACATCACTTTCTTTATCTTCATCTTTTTTAGGTGTACATTCATCAGGAAGCCCATTTTTAGGGAAATTATCAGTTGAAATGTCATTTATATCTTTTTGTAAGTTATTATGTATTATATTGTTCGAGCAAGAATAATTATCACTAGATGAATTTGATGCTATATCTTTCATACGTTTTTGTAACTGCTCTGTTGTAATAAAATCCTCACCATTTGACAAACTGTACAATATCAAATACATTATACATTTACACATAAATATATTACTTTATTAAATTCTATAATTCAATTATTTATACCTAGTGAACATTTCTCTTGCTGCTCTTCTGGCTAATTTTTCATCTTGGGTCATATCAAGACAACTTTTGACATCATAATAGTTATGTTGTGTGATACCACGGCCAGTGGCTAAACATTTTCTAAGAATATCTGTTGCTTCCAAATTTCCTTGCTCTGAAGCTTTCGTAAGCCAATATACACCCAATTTCGCATTTTCTTCTTTGTCAACATCTAAATCTAAATCCATAATTTATGTTGCAATAATGTACACATTAATGTATTCAATGAAATACAAATGAGAATGTGCATTGCTACCACATCTTTCTTCCAATAGTTGCTTTGCTAAAACTACTTGAGATTCCGGACAACCATCTTCAGCCAGTTGAGACCGTAATCTTCTAAGAGATCCTCTTGGTCCATCTAAAATTATGCAATTGAACTATAATTCTGCTCCTCAATTAATAAAACAACAATGCTTTTGTTATTTATAGTGAAAAGAAATCAATTGGGTGTTACTCATGTATGTTGTTCTTACATACTTTAATCATTTGACATTATTGCACACTGAAATCATATTATTAATCATTGTTTATTCTGATTTGGCAACTGTCAAATTTTGTTTTTGTAAAAGAGTAAAAATATTTAATTGACATTTTTGCAAAAAATTTGAAAAATTATTCGTCATTCATCATCGTTACGAAAATACCATAATTTCATTCAAATCAGTCCATAGCGCCATTGAATTGCAAAAGAAAAATAGAAACCATAAATCTCAGCGACAGATAGAAAGTGAAATTGCTGCGTTACCATGCAATGTCCATTGTTTTCTACCAGATCTTCCAGATAATGGTACAATGCCAGCCATAGCTCCAAAAATTGGGAGGATCACTATTAAAATATTTTTGCTTTGCGTACTAGTTGTGCCACGCGAATCAATTATCCAATATCAAAAACTACTTTTCCAATATACATTCAAGATTTCTTGACAAAGCGACTGTTAAAAAATTAGCATTGAGGCATGATTCCATATTGCGCACGCGCGATTATTAAGGTTAGGTTGTTGAACAAACGTCAAGAGCAAACGAAAATTTTGAATTCGTCAAGAGTAAAGGATAATTCAAATATATGTATAACAGAAATAAAAATAACTTTGATTTAATGAAGTATTCAATATTCTGTTTACTAACTATGGTTAAAGGGTCAGAACAATTAGTTGCCTCTATACATTACCAAGCTCCCATAGCTGGTTATTATATTGCATTTTAATATATCTTATGTATGTATGTATCTATATTTCATTATCGAAATATCATTAAGTATTTATATTATCTAATAATGTAATAGGTTTTTTAAAAGTTTTAAGTAATTTATTTTTAAGTAATTAAAAATCTGCATATTGCTTTTCTCATCTAATAAAATACCCTATTTTTTCTTTCCATTTCACAAATTTTGGATTTTGACGCTATTTTCCCAGAATTTTTAAATCTTACTGTTACGAAGCTTGTTTGAAATTTTCAGTTACATAGAAATTTTGTATAGGAGCATAATGTATGTAAATGAAATGCATGAATTTTCGCAAGTTCTTTTTATTTTATGGAAAATTTTGAATAAAAGTACATATTGTAGTTCTGTGACTGGGTTATTAAATAAAATGTTTCATCAATTAACATTGCTTGTAGTACCGTTGTACTTAAGATGACTAGCATAAAAACTAGCTAAAACTATGAATATAAATATTAAATATATATATACATTACTCATAAATAAATATTAAGTTTACATATGTACTAATTAGTGCCATACTAATAGTGAGATTTCTTTGTATAATAGAAGATATGTTGTTACTATCGTAATTTTGTGCAATTTATCGAATCTACGCAATTTTAAACCAATATATGTAATACATGTTACCCATATCAAATTACGAAGCAACAGATAATACGGAGCCAGTTTCAATGATTTTGCGATTCTCCTCGTAGTTACGATTGTAAATCGTTATTAATTCAGCAAAACCACGTTTTTGCTGGCTCCTCGTGTAGTCAGAAATCTGCCCGAATTCCCGCTCTGAAAAATTAATATAATTATATATGTATCAATATCAATAAGAAACAAAGTAAGCATTCGATATTTACAAATTACTTGGTCCAGTATAAGGTGGTGGATTTGGTCGAATGTATGGATTGCAACGTTCGTTGGAAATCCTGGAAATATATATCCATTTCAAGATAGGATTTAGGGCTAACAAAGACTAAAATATAGAATTTGGGGCTAACATATAAGAGCATCCTTAAAATGTGAGTTTCCAGCCAAATAGACTTTTCATTTTATATTCCAAAAGCAATATTTCAAAGAATTTTAACTAATATTATATAACTATATAATAATGTTTATTTAATGTATCATTTTCTTTTACTCGTCGTGCGTTTATACGCAATATTAGTTAAAAAATTCTTTTAGATATTGTTTTTGAGACATACAATGAAAAATCTATTTCGTATGTCATTATATTTCTTATCTTAAATTATGAACGAGTACCTAGGACTTGGTATCAAGGAATCATTAGGGCTGGATGGTTGAGCAGAGAGCGATTTTAAGGTACCCCTTTCGATGGCAGCGTACTGGACCATTTGTATGTTGTTGTTGCTAACTCCTTCCCCCGTCGAAGTTTCCCTTTTTTCGCTGCAAAGCAAACAAGAGGAATGTTACACATATCCATTAAATGAGTTTTTAATATACTCTTATACTGCGTTATGAGATCAAGGAAACGCGCGTTTAATATAGTTATTTGAAATTGTTAGCGTGGATCATATAAGTATACTTTGTACAAACTACTACAACTTTAATTAATAGTTGCGTCGAGTATTTGAAATTATTAAAGCAGATCAAAACGTATCTTTTATTGAAGGTAATACGATTTTAATGAACAGTTGTTAAGAACAAGCTGTTAGTAAGTATTATTAAAGTACGCTATGTTAAGGATAATACTATTTTAGAAAATAGTTGACAAGCGCTAGTAAGAAATTTTATAATAAGACTGATAAGTTCATTAGTATGAATTCATTAGAATGAATCAACCTTCTGAAATTGAGGTAGGGATACCTGGTTCTTTGTCTTTTGCCAAGAAAGATGTTAAACAATTCGTAAAAATATTGTTCTGACTCAGGATCGTGCCTATAAAAAAATTTATTGTTCTGTTTACTGGAAGATTCTAACAAATTTTACTTTATTTGCTATCGTACATTTCGTCACGTTTTCTCCGCTCATATAATAAATATAAGAAGAAAATAAATTTATGTTACGACCCAATACCTAATATCGATATGAAGGGATGTATGATACTGAGAGAAGAGAAGGAACGCTTTTCAGCGATCTACGAGAATCGTGTAAACATCGAACCAATTGGTTTATCGTTCGTTTTCAGTAAACTCCACAGATTATCGGAGCATTTTTTGTGAGTCATATCTACGATGACGTGAATGTCCTATTACTGCTTTCACATAACCCGCATAATCTGGAGTTTGATGGCAATTACCTTGATCACGCGCGTGGATCACTAGCTGCGATCTGCGACACCCTTGAATACTAATATGCGGTTTAGATGTTTTGCGATTCCAGGCACGATATTTTTTACGACAATATCCGGACACAACAAAAGATATATCAGAAGTGGAACAAAGAATGGTAATCCTCAACAAAGCCACGTTTGTTATCAATCAAAGAGACTGTTGCATGTAATAAAGAGGCAGTTTCACTTTTTACCAATTCAAGTAAACCATCGAAAACCAACTGAGAGCTTTTTTCTTTCAATAAATGCAATTTAATGATTAGATCTACCTCTTTATTGTTGCGATCTCTTCAACTAAAGATGATTTCCATAAATAAAGGGGTTTTAAATTACTTCAAATCACTTTGTACGAGACTTACGTCAGTTGTGTTCATTAAAGTATCAACTTGTGTACATCTCTGCAGTATAATAATTGCGAACGGTTAGCAATTTTAACAATAATCGTTTGCTAAGAATACATTGTTTCATCATTCGCCGAGTCTGATTGATCATTTGCCTTATCATCGCGTGGCCATTAGGAACTTCGAAACTATGATATACAATTGGACATAAAGTGCGTGAAATGTATTTTACCAAACCTAAATTCAGCCGAGTAAAGGTCATAGGTAGAGAGCAATTGCAGCAAGAAGCGCGAATAATCGGTGACGCGATCGTCAGGGTCATCCGCTTATAAATAGATCCCGTTAGTTTGTGTCTTTATGGCGTTAGATTTTCGCCTATTAGCACGTTCAGTTTCGAACGGAAGTGTTGTCAACACACCGCTAAACGAGGCGACGCGCAACTAATTAACAACGATCTAGTCGACGATTTCCTAGTCGATGAAAGCTGATTTAACGAGTAATTCCGTTGCGTCACGGGTAGATGGTAGATGTCGCGTAAAGAACGATCTCCTTCTCTCTTTCCTTTTTTGTGCTATCACTTACCCGCGCAACACATCCCTTTATCTCAGAACACGCGATTCTCGTAACTGGAGCAAAATAGGTCCATCGTGACTTTCCCATGATAATAGAATCAGTGCGATATATTTAGAGTTCTTCGTTATGTCGAAAGAATTCTTCTTAAGGGACAGTTTTTACACGTCGAAGAAAAACGAACCGGAAAGTGGAACGCCATTGCAGAAAGGTAAGTTTCTATCACTGGAAAATTATTTGAAAATGATTTGTTCGATCTTAACGCTACATAGTCAGATACTGACAGGGCCAAATCGGAGAAAACGTGTCCCGACAACGATGCGTCAACAACGGAAAACTTACTTTTCCTGAAGTCTCTAAAGTACGTAGTTGAAACGATTAAACGTTATTTTTCATCTTCATTTCAAATAGAATTTGTCCAAGCCTGCTGTGTATATAGCTTGCTCGCTTTTATTGCATTAGCGACGCACATCACGTACCAAGTACGTGTGTTCTTCTTGCCCCGAATGATTCCGTGGCTTGACATACAATGATTAACCGTGGCTGAGAGCTCGTTGGAGCAACGATACGCGCCATTGGTATACTTCAACGATAAGTGAACTGTGTACATAATAATCGATGTACGCCACGAAGCACAGGTCGCGATATACTGAACCTTTTTCTATTTATACTCGTCACTGCTACAACGTGCACGCTGCAGCGAAAAATCGCTTGTTTCTTTCTGTTTAAAAACATCTCGTTAACGCTGGCTCGCGCGAATTCTCCTTATTTATCGAACCCGTTACGCAAATATTCGCGTACACCTCCGTTGAAAATTTCCCTGTCTCTTTCACTTTTTATCCTTTGACCTTTGCATCTAAAGCAAAATGTAACTAATGATTGATGGAATAATTGACATAGCTATTCAAATATGTTTGATCGGTCGATCTGCGTGCATAAGAAACGATACTTACGGAATATACGAATGTACACGCGTGGTTCGTGCTTATCGGGCACGCGATTCGCCGTGGCCGTATTTTCGATCGTACCGTCCAGCACGTTACTACTTGACCAGATATCGTAGCTGTTTATGAATGAAACCAGTCGTAGTAGCAGCCCCCTCTAACTGCTCTTGGCGCCCCTACCACTTATGCTCGTTGCTCGCACAACTATACGTCGGAACTTATTTCTCGAGCACGTGCTTCGTATAGAATTACAAATATTTCAGCCGACATTCCTCCGATATACAGCCCGCGTTTCCATCGATCTCGCCAAAAACGAAAGAGCATGAATATCGAGCATTCGACTATCCAGATTTTGAATGTAGAGTTCACGGGAAAAGCCGGTGATCCTAACCACTTCTTTCCCGTATCTCCTTATCTGAATGATTTATTCATTCTTAAATAAGAAATTTATTTTCATACTCGTCTAAAGAATATTTTTTAATTTTTATACTTGTTGCGGTCCAAATTTTCTTATCATCTTCAACAATGAGAAGATCTTACATTTTTTCTCTGTCGAGGCACAGCACCGTGCTCAATAAAGCGGCCAATACAAGGAGCAGGATCGCCGGGACGAAGATCGTGGTTGCAATTTCTTCGAAGTAACTTCTCGTGGGAATATTAGCTTTGGTCGACCTGGCCCAACGCCACTCCGTGTGCTCGGAAATACCAGACGCTGGTAAATCCAATACGTTCATGCTCGGTCCTCGTCTCGCGCTTTCGTGCTGCAAACTCTGTTGTTCCTGCTCGACCTGAGATACACGTTCGTCATCTCATGAATTTCTGACGGGTCACGTAGGTTGTCCAATTACAATAAACGAAACTTACCAGTCTGAACGAGCACCAATCCAGCGCAAATTCCGCCTCTCTGAAAAGCCGCTCGACGCTGGTCCTCTTAAAATCTCGAGGACAAAACGGTAATTTCCATAGAGGTTTCACTTCTTCCTGGAGTTCGTTCAGCTCTTGCGAGAATGGCATTGAACTTCCTAGTCTTATGACGACTCTGGCACGAGAAGAAAAGAGTACACGTTTTATTGCTGGTTGAAATGGAATTTCCTATGAACGTCAGACGTCTGTGTCGCTTTTAGTTGGACGTAGCGTCCACAAGCAAGAGATTTGTTACTTTCGTTGTGTCTATCGGTCTTAAACTTACAATCAACTGTACTTTCTGTTAATTTCTTAATTTTACTACCGCAATGATTTTACATCAAGAACGCGATTAACGTTCAATTCTCAAGGGACAAGATAACTTGCCGCTTATTCACAAATTCATTTATTTTAGGGAAAATAATTAGAAGATAGTAACATTCAAGGAAAGTTTAGCGTTTTAATTAACATCGTCAGCTTTCTGTACTTTTCAATTTATAGACTCGATCAATGCGGCTTTTGAACAGCTCATAGCGTATGTACATCGTCAGATTGGCTCCAAATCTTATTGATATGATCGTGTCAGCGTTACAGTGCTAATGAAATGTCAAAATGTATTATATAACACATACGACACATACACAGAACTTATGTACAATAAATGTCCAAATACTTCCGTGAATCAGTCTATTTGATTACTCTGACACATTCGTCAGAACGACATGTCATCAGAACACACGTCCACCGTAATCGTAATGCACCGCGACTATATGACGTCAAGGATGATTTTAAGTCTTTTTACATTTCCTCGGTTAACCACCTGCGACGTTTGTGTACGTGTTCCACGACACGTCGTACACTTAGCGTTTCAAATTGCGTCACAACTTTCTTAGCTATGCATAGCTTCCCGTTATCCGTTATCTCGGTCAAAAGTCGGGGATAGTACCGCCTGCTAACAGCAGTAATTTCCATACATCGCAATCGGCCGATGATCCCCAAGACAATATCCGCAATACGCTTTTAATTAAGATCAAATTTCCTGTTTACTATTTAAATTAAAAGACTATTTTTCATGAATTGTCGTTCGGCCGTCTCGCGATCGATGAAAGCTAACGATTCAATATCAAAGAAACAAAGATTTTCCTTTGCCACCTATTTTATAGGAAGGATTTTCTCGAAAATGTTCTCTTCTCCCTTGCACGGCACGTAACCGTGCACGAGCTTACATCGCGCTATCTAATATAAACGAGCGTTCGAGAAGAATCCGGTCGACCGAAACGAGTCCAGATAGACCGTTGTACGATCTTTTTCGAAGAAGTGTTACAGCAGCTCAAAAATCGACAATGTTTCGAAATATTTAATATAGGTATTACTATAAACTTGCTTCGATAGTTGGTAGTAACAGCGGAAAAATACGCCGACCGCACAGAGCTAATTTTGTGGAATAGCGTGGACTTGCGTGTTTCTCTTCTGTGATCTTCACATGCTACAATCTGAAAAAACTACTCGCACTAGATTCGCCAACCTCGACGTACGACGCGTGACAAGATGCGCTCGTATTTTACAAAACACGATAAAACGATACAGAATGATTCTTTGACCGCATTCGTTTACATAATTCTCTTATAGGAAGGATGTCAATGACGAACTTTCACCGCGGTGCATTGCTGCATTATGCAGCGGGAGGCATGGCGCGGTTGACGTCTAAGCTAAGGTTGAGACTTGAGAGTACGATGGAGGAGAGCAGTAAGCAGGCCGGAAGCCATTCAGTTAGCTCGAGCGAGCGCGCTAACGATGTCGCGGCGCACTTACGTTACCAACCTACTTAAACGGCTATGATACAGCTGATACAACATTAAACTCGCGCGATTAATCTACGCCGTTTCGTAGCCTCCACCAACCACGTTCGTTTATCCGTATGTTCTTTCATAAATGTGTATACGTGTGTATGTACTGTTATTGAATAAGCGAGTGATCGAGTGATTGGCAGCGCGGGAAGGACACGTTTTGTAAGTGACTGGCTGCTTCAGGGAATCGACGAAATGCAACGTTGAATCTATGATGCGATCCCAACTAATCGACTCGATTCATTTTCCACTTGCACGAGCTTCGAATGCGATTTGAAGATTCGTAAGTGTTTCCTGATATATTATGAGAATCTTGACGCGTCACGTGCACGAGCTGTTGAAAGAAAATTATTTATAAGGTGTGATTCTAAACATTAAGACAATGAAGAGAGTTTACGTAGATAAATCTCGTTCCAGGCTTATCTTTCGATTTAAAATACGCTGGAAATACGCTGATAGCTATGTAGAAATACAGATCAGCCGACCAGCTGACAAACGTTTCTTTCCATTTCACTCAGATGTTTCTCAGTATGAGGTAAATGAACGAAATCGAACGAAGAACACGCGGAGAAGGTATGTCACATCACGCTTTTTGTTCCTCGCACGAGAGCCACATTCAAATTATTAAATATCTTATTTACTAGCAGAATAGTTTTTATTATTTAGCGTCAGAACTGTCTTTCTCTTAGAAATATTCACGTCAAAAGTATCGATTTCGAAAGTTACTAGCGTATTTTTAGCGTAAGATTAAGTTGATGTTTACATTACACCTTACAAATATCATCCATTTCCTTTAACACGTTGTAGGAAGTTGTCCCCTGGATAATTGCACGTAGCCTTGCGATTATGACCAAAAATCTCTTTGTTTGCGTGAGATAAAAATACGGAAATGATACCGCAATGAACGAGAAGCGATAGAGGCTTAGCGGTTACTCGAGTAATTGATTAGAAATAAATAAATGATTATTTTACGACGAAGCAAGTAGCGGTTGTTATTTATTTGCGACAACGTGCAAGATAATTAGGATTTAACGAGAACATGGAGAGAATAAAGAGACGATGACAGTGACATGTAAACTTCTTGGAAATCATCACCGATTGTCATAGCGATAATGCTCTTCCTCGCAATTCACGTTTTAATTCGAACGAACGAGCTCGTTTAGTTTTCCACGTATAGTAACTCGCACCAATATTCGAACACCATGCGTGTGAGACATTATTCTTGTACATATAGATTCAGATTTTGAAACTTGTTACAGAAATCAGAAATGGATAGATATTTCTATATTCGACAAAGATACAGTTTATCACGAGGCTATAAACGCTAACTAAACGTCATAAGCAATTTTTTCCAGTGTAAAGTTGTGTAAAAGAACCAGTATACAAAGGGGCAGCGATAAAAAGGAAAATATTCATCAAATCCTTGAAATATCTTTTTATAATATCAAAAAACAGAAATATATTATGTAAATTGACTGAAAGGACATTGCAAATGAAACATCGTGTTAACACGACGTCGGATTTTAATGGCGTAATAAAATTTAGAATCAACGAATTATGGCCATTAATGCATTATTCTCCTATAATTCTCTTACAAATAACGTGGACAAATTTTTTCTACACCGAATCTTGCACGAACGCGTGTCTCTCTAATAATTTGAATGAATTATCATGTCTTTTTATAAGATCTGCAAGTGTCCTAATACTTATGTATGGAAGTGTATATATTTACGACAAAAGATCATATAACGAATTGAACTGGCCAAACAAAATCAGTTGCAATTTGAAGTCGTTACGCAATAGCCTATTGAAAATGCGAATATCTGATGGGACGGTCTTTCAAATGCTACCATAGATGAGTATCTCTAATGACGCGTGCATTTTTCATAGCGGCGGACTATAGAAGATTTTCCTTGGATCGAGCATAATGTTTGCCGTCACGATAACAACATTGAACGATATGCAGTGGCAAAGGAAGTGGCAATTACCCATTTGAAAAAAAATCGGAGGATGTGTGGGACGCGCGTCACAATGTTGTTTTCCGTTGATCGGGCGATTATACGTCAGCGATATCGAAGCGAGCACGCTGAATCCCATTGACTTGTTCGATAATCATCATGATGGCGACGGTAACGCAATCGCGTAAACGTTTCGTGACGAAATCTTGCAATTCGGCTTGATGCAGACGAGCGAGTTTCAACAGTCCACTGGATTATATAGGGAAATACATGCATTTCGTATTCGTATTAGTGGAAACAAAAGTCGCGGTTCAGTATTCAAAGGCCACGGAAAACATTACGAGTCTATTTTTATTAATTTTTATTAATTTCCTGACTTTGATGTCACTTGGTGGTTAACATACACAAAGACAATTTTTATTACCTTCGAAGATACGCGTCTTTAAAATAAATGACGAATCTATGAAAGTTTGTAAATAATCGTTTTTTAAATTTCTGATATAGCAGAAAAATATATACGGTAGCTAGAAAAAATATTGGCACATTGTTAAGTGATTAGATCAAAGTATATTGAATTTCCTATCATTTAAGGGCACTTTGATATCACTGCAATGAGATAAATATAAAAAATAAATTAAGAGCGCTTTACTAAAAAACAAGAGTATGTACCAATACATTTTCCTGTAAAATATATAAAGTATTCAAAGTATAGTGCTTCTTATAATATAATACTCAACGGGTATAAATTTTCCACCAAGGATCATTTTAGTTATATTCTCAAGGATATGAATCTCCATAGAAATCCGCGATTTGCTACATATATAATAACTAATGTAGCATGCTCGCTGCGGAAACGCGCGAGGAAAAATCGTTCGTCTGCATCTGGCTTTAGTTTCTTCTTCGTCGAAAATTGTTCGCTTTTCAAAGAAAACTCACCCTTCACCTTCGCTCGGTTTCAGAGGCAAACGAGCGCCGAGTTCGACGGCGGACGCTAGAAAAGTCACGTACAAGTCCATCGCGTTTTTCCACAATCTCTTTCTGTAAATAAAAAAAAGGAAAGGGAAAGCTTGATCAGACGCTTCATAGAACGTATTGGAAATAGTATAGTACCGAGGCTCGTCTTTCCTTGAGTTTTATCGACAAACCTAAATATATCGAGGAGCTCTTCGGTTCTATTGCGGTCGAACATGTCCTCCACGTTTAAATTATCGATCTTTAAATGGACCTCGTACTTGGTCAGGTTTTCCTTTTCAAGGACGTTCATATCCAGAACCTTATATCTGGTTTCGTAAGTGTGTTTGTTCAGACCTACGATCTCCAGCTGAAAATCATCGGTAATACTTTTACTGCCACCGGTATATAGTATTTCTTCGACTAAATATTTACCCAGGACAAGCTAAAAGGGATAAGATGAAAGGACAAGTTCATGCGACAACGATTGAACAATGAGGCTTAAAAACATATTTCACGTTCAATAGTATTACTTCGTGCGATGTACCTGATATAACGTAAATCAATTTTTATCTGAATAAATTCTTACTCACGTTGAAATCAATTTATTCAGACAACGATTAGTAATAAAATTAGGCGCAAATTTCGATGAAAGAAAAGTATATTAAACTTGAAGGTAACATGATTGAATAACAGCGAAAGTTTGAAACACGTGTCTGACATTTCTCCGCTGTGAATCACCTGGAAGTATTTGCGATCCTTGGGTGCGACACCGTACAAGAAGCCGCGATGATCCCTTTTGCTGTACGTGTAATGAATCCAGGAAGGAAGATCAGGCGCATTTAGCAACGAGGGCTGATACGAAAACTGGTCGGATCGTGCTGAAACGAGGAACGAATCGTACGATTTGTTAGTCATTCGGAAATATCTGTGGGTTAAAGTGCCTACTCGGCTTTCATAGCCTCTGAATAATTCGATTCCGAGTAATCGCGCGCACAATGTGCTCATCCTCGATCGGACAAATCGCATTTTCCGGGAAGGGACGCGGGAAACACTTCGATTCTTATGAATAGTATGACTAAATGGTGAATCATAAAAATAAACCACAAATGAAATTTACTAAATTCGGCAATTTAGTAAAATGATGACTCATTGGGATGTCCTCAGGCTACCAATATTTGTTAATATTTCAAAGTTCTTTAAAAGGATCAATATGTATTGTCAATACAATATTATAATATTATATCTTAATATCATAATGTTAATATTATAATGTTAATGTTATAATGTTAATATTATAATGACATTGACAACTTTGAAATATTCACAATATTATTCACTGTCTGAAGGCATCTTCAATTTATAGATTCCGATTTCGCAATAAATTTAATCATCAAACTTATTAATGTGGTTCTGAGAATGTAGTTTTAAGATTCTTTTAGTTCCAAAGTTTGATTATTTTCGCAACGTTTTAGAGCTAAATATTTTAATGGATTATTACCAGAAACTTTCTGAATTCACTGTGAATCTCATTATGTATCTTATGCAATACATACATATTGTGTATCCATTTGCATTAGATATAAATACAATAGCCCATTTTTTTCAGCAAATTATGACCTACTGTCTTTCACTCTTTGTACTACTTTTATATTGCTCTTTGAAAAGCTCTATTATTTCTGATGGCCTGGGATGGCTTTCATCAGATACATTCTTTATTTATCATGACACGCTACAACTATCTTTTTGAGCTGATGGAATAAAGTTTCTTTTGTGATTTTAATAAAGATTTAAATAAATCGACATGTCGATTTTAAATAAATCGACATGTTTATTATATATTAAAATTGTCTCTTTATGCTCATAATTTGCTAACAGTTCACTATGGTTAAGCTTCGACATTTTGAAGTTCTTCTTTCCTACTTGTATCTTATAAAGATTTAATAATTTTCACTGATAAACCAAGGGATGTCTCGAGTCGCTAAATTTCGTCTCTGTCTTGGTATGCTCCGTACAGGTCGCGATTCTCCGATGACGTCGCGTTAAAAAGTACCGATACACACGTGACAACGTCAGCTGTGAGGTCACAACACGATATTCGGTGTTTCCGAGGCCGTGATTCGATTGCTATTCGAAACAAGACACGAATGACGCGCGTTAACTTTCAGCTGATGAACCAAGTTAACGGGTGTACGACCGAAAACTGCTTTCTGTTCGCTTGGCCCTCTTCGAGCCGGTTATTTCTGTATGCTCGTCGTTTCACGGTTCCTGCGCGTAACAGTAACAGCGCGATATAAACGCTATGCAAACTCTCATCGGTGTCATTGTTCGCGATCGAGTAACCTTCTTACCGTCGCCGCTCCAGTCGAAAGTCTCTGGTCTGATCGGAATGACGAACACCTCTGTCATTAAGATGCTCTCGGCGTTCGCGAAGGCCGTCATCAACGACAACGCTACTACGAACGATAGCATGACCATGGCCATATCTGAAAAGTGACAATAAACGACACCCGCTTATTAACCCATTAAGAACCACGCAATTAAATAATGCGTGAAAGTTACGTGTAAATGAAGTTGTTTTGCGAAAGAATTATGCAAGATGCGCCAGAATAATAGACGTGTTACAGAAGTCCATTGTAAACCAGAGGTATAACAAGAAGTTCTTTCGTAAGAAAAAAAATATATAGAGTTTATCATAGTGTCATAAATTACTTGAATTTCTTCAAACTTGATAGAATTCTAGGACCTAATGGAAGAATGTAATGAAATAAATATCGATCCAATTCTTGGAATTGTTTTCCATAGTCACGATATAAATTTGATAGAATTCGCTAATGTTAAACGACTAAGAGGAAATTACAAATGAAACATTGCATTAATGTAAAGCTCAGTGGGTTAACACTAACGCGAAACCGACTTTCCATTCACTCGGATCATATTGTTTAGGATTAAAATTTTACAAGCTCGTAACAATACATAGAGCAAATATATATCTGCGTGTTCTATTATTTTTTTCGCAACTCATCTTATATTGTTAAAAGATTTCTATAAGCGTTCAAATACTTTTGTCGGTCGCTGTATGTGACTACGTACATTCAAATTTTCAAAACCCTGACTTACGCTACTATGATTCTCAGCCCTCTTATACTCTATACGACGACCATCGGTGTGTGACACCACGTGAACGGAAAATCTTTTATCGATCATCAGTGTCAGATACCGCGTTGACCGTGTTAACAACCAATGGACAGTCGAATCAAATATCGATACTCGATTCTCTGAATTCCACAACCCCTTCCACCCCTCGATCTTTCCTCATAATCACGCGCAATTGCGGTCGTCGATTCGCGATGAAAATAGACGTGATAATTTCGTGGTCTGGCCGTGGACAACAAACGAATCGCAAGAATCTTACGAGAGGGGAGCACGCTGACGGCGCGGCGGATCGGCTTACGGGACGTAAACTGGCTGTCGCCTCGCGGTGTTGATACTCTAGCGGAGCGGGCGTCACGCACTGTCGACGAGCAGGTTAACGCGATGCAAGTGCAGCGTCAGGTCGAAAACCGAATCGTACGCTGCGACACACCGCGTTTGTTCTAACTCTGTGTTCGTATGATAATTGCTGGGAACGCCACACGTCGAGCGGTAATTAACCGAACGTCTCCTCTTTCTCCGTTCTCCTGACTTCGTTTCTTCTTCGTAGTTAAACGCACACGCTTCGTTGATCCGACGAACGCGCCTCGATTCGTCTTCTGACGTCGGTTCTCTGTTCTATCCATGCATTCGAACAGCATTCGAGACCCTAAAAAGAAAAGAAAATTGAGAAGAAAAAAAAAAAAGATAAAAGGTGTAAGCGTAAACGGAGCATAAGAGCGCGTGCGTTTCGCCCTTCTCATGCGCAGCTGGAACATCGTTTCCGACAATCGTTCTCAGGAGCGTACAAGTCGTATGCGCATCGCTTTGCGTTTCACTCTCACAATCTCTCGAATTTTTCCCCCGGTTTTTTGATTTATTTTCTCACTTGAGAATTCTTGAGATATATCACGCTTGCTAAAGTTTCATATTTGTTGCATGATAATGTTAAGAAGCTTGAATAAACGAAATGGGACTTTCCAGCTGCGCGATATCATAGAATTGCAGATTTCCAGCGACGTTCACAGCCTGTAGCATCGAGTCGCGCGCACGCGTACCCTTATCTGAACTTCCGTCCCGTTGATTATCGCGACGCTTTTAACAATTCTCGATAACTGAACACGCGTACCACAGAGCAAAGGACTGCCAGAAAACGAAGCGAAACAATTACAAATTTATCGATCGCGCGGAACTCGCGCCAATTGGTTTCGACTAATTATACATCGTTTACTTCTTCAAAGTTTTCGGTCACGGATTAATTCTGTAATCGCTTGATTGTAATCGATCGTTTAGTCTACCGTGCGAAACGAAAATCACGGTTCTCTCCATTAAAGAATCGATAGACCACTACATCATACGTGAGAATGACGGAATTTCTTCCGGTTAAATCGTGAGGAAATATTCGAATAAACCGGTTGCTCGATCCGCGTGTAATCTAGATCAGGCGGATTCACGAGATCGGAGATCCGGAATCGCGGCGAGGTACGACCAGTTTCTCGAAAGCTTCTAAAGAGAAGAGTGATTTCTTATAAGCGTAGGCGTTATATGGTGTAGAGTTAAGCCTAGTCCAGACTGACAGATTGCTAGTATTAGGACACCTATTGCTTACATTCGTTGAAAAAACCCAATAAATTCTACTCAATTCAATATTTTAATTTATTTTAAGGCATTTATAATAAATAGAATTCGATCTATAACAAGTATCAATGTCTCGATACTCATGGTTAAGCCTAATATGTATGTACACTGCCTGCTGACGATCGGACGATATCGCCAGGCACAACGTACATGCACTTTTTTGTGGATTTTTCAACGCATGTGGATTGATACTACACATGTTTATGGATAACTGTCTCTCAATCTGCATCAGACTTAACATAGCACAGAGCAGCGTGTTGACGAACGGAAAGACCAAGAGTGAATCGCGGAAGTACAGACGAAGAAATAGTAACGTGGTTGCGTCGCTTAGACGTCGGGGCCCGGCGTTTCCACTCGCGCAGCGTTTACGTTTGTGACTTACGTTACGGCACTGCCTATTGACGTCTGCAGTAGGCGTGGTTTCGCTCTGGCCGATAGAGGGATATATTTACCGCACACACAACTTTTCCCTCTGGTGCGCGAACGAGCCTCGCGTTATTCGATTAATAATGTGTATTTGCAGTGCGAGGTTTGATGCGACCGGTGCACGGCGCGAAACCGTGGCCACTCCTCGGCACAGGGGTTGATTCCTCCGGACACGCGGACCTTTCCTGGCCGGGGGTGACTTCTCTTCGAACCTGACTACTCGATCAGAGTGCTCGTGTCAACGGGAAACCCAAAGTCGACGTGCTCGACGGTCTCGCGACACTCTCTCGAAGCAGTGCGGTGTGTTCGACTCGTGTGTCGATCCCTTTTTGACAGTCATTTGCACCGATCTTACATCTATTTTACGACGTTTACGTTCTCCTCGTGATCGTCCTACGCCACCCGATATCCGTCTTCTTTCTCTTCAAGGGCAACAGCGAGGCTTTATTCAAAACTTTCCCTTCTTGACACATTGAAGAATGGCGGGTAACGGCGTTCCTGTCTTATTGGTCACTGCGAACGTCGGCAGTATCTTCGAGGAGGTGAGTTTCCCGGACTTTTTCGCATTCTCCTTTCTCGCGTTCCTCTCCGCCGTTACACCGACCCTGAACGATCGATCGATCGTGCCCCGCGATTTACCTTCAAACGCGGCACGGCCTGCTTGTCTCCTTCCTTCGTCGTCTTCTCTTTCTTTTTCCAGTCTTTTTTTTTCGCCTGTTCAAAGCTAGCTGCTTCGCGCGTCTTTCGTACGACGCTACGATAATAGATGATAATACACTACTAATTCCTACCCGCTATTTACAACTACTCTTCCTTCATTCATCGCTTTTCTCCCTTGTTTTTCTCGCTCCGTAAAGCTTCACGATCTTGTCCGCAATCCCGCACGTATTAATTGCAATGCTAACGCGCGCAGAATCGCGTTGATATTATCAACGACTTTCCATAATAGTAGATTCTTGTTAGTCGCGTGAATTTAGATCGAACCGAATTACGCTTTTCCATTAAGCGATAATAAGAACGATGACATTAGCCCTAGATTGGTTTTTGTTTAAGATTTAAAGTTGATCTTCTGCGCGTATATATAAGCGATATATGAATGAAGATATGTTTTTAAATTTCTTTCGATCTTTTTTATCGATAAATGATAAGCATCCCTTTGTTCGATTGGAATTTTGATCAAGATTACGAAAGTGTGTCCTTTTTACAGCCTAGCATGATGTTGAAAATTTGGACGGAAGAATTTTTATCTGTAAGTATTACAGATAACATGCGTTGTCATTGCGTAAATATAACGGGTATTTACATTCACGGAGAATGCTTTTCAGACTATACTGAGGCTGGATCCAAAATTTATTGCACTGCACTGCCAAGAAGTAGGTGGAAAAAATTATGAGCACAGCACCAGGCAGGTGGAAGACTTTGTTAGGTAATTTGTTATCTCTTTTCGTATTTTTAGAGCTTTGTCTACTGCACAGTCAGCAATGATTACATATATTGTATTAAGGATGTTAAAGATATTCCAGAAAATCTTGTTAAAGTAAAGCTTCTTGAAAGGCTTCCATTGACTGATCTCTTTAATCAGATTAATGAGATAACAGTTGCTAGTCTATGCGATAATATTTGTTTAAATATTATTGCTTGGCTTATATATGAAATATTTATGGAGTATGATGTATGGAGTAAAATGTAGTGGGAGGTATGCCTTTTAAAAATTATACCAAGACTGATAGGTTTTCCTGATCACGATATTGAATGATTTAACGCATAAGTGGCAGAAAGGGATAAAAATAGATGATCACGCGTTACTCTATGGTTGAGTGAGCTACTTCAAAAGATGAATTTATCGAATGATATTCATAGGGGAGCAATGTAAAAAAAGTGTTTGAAAATATAACAGATCTTTAAGCTACTATGAAAAGTTCAGGATAGAGAGACCTCTGTGTTTCTTGTAAAGCTTAATTTAGTTTATTTATTAGCTATTTGTTGCAGGTTACTAATGTCATCGGAGGAATTAAGGCTGTTTGACAAAATTAGGGTATTCTTGGATGAAGATTATTCATCTGCTGAACATTTTACGGTAGGTAAAATACAAAAACTATGTATTTATAAAATATATATTATCATATACGTTCTTAGTAGTAATTACACATAATTATGTTAATATTAAAATTTTTTAGGCCCTTGGAAATTTGTACTTTGTGCATGAATCTTTGAAAGAAGTTTTATTATGGGATTTCCAAGGTACAATGATTGATAGATTAATATTACAGTGCCTGAGCGAATTAACGTAACTCAAGTTATTATTATAATTTTAGAATGTACTTTTATACCAGTGGATGGAAAGGAGATTCATTCTGGTAATATAGAAGCAGTCACGACCAAAGAAAAAGCAAAGTTCCCTCAGGAATTCTTTCCAGAATGTAAATGGTCCAGAAAAGGATTTCTGAGAACACGATGGAGTATTAGTGGAACAGTTTTTGATCTCATAAACATACATTTATTTCACGATGCCAGTAATTTCATTGCTATGGAAACAGTAAGTGATTTTACCTTGTATTATGAGATAACTCTATGATTTACCCATTCTGATAATATATTTTCAGTTTCCATCCGTATACAGTAAGACGCGTAGAAGAGCGCTCGAGCATACATTAGATAGGTTTCATAATGATAAATATTCAAATGTACCATACTTTTTATTTGGAGACTTTAATTTTAGAACGGACACAGCCGGTGTAATCAAAGTAAGTACGAGAAAATTCGACAATGATGTTATTCTTGCAGTAGTACAAAAGAATAAAAATAATCTGTACTCTTACTTTTACACAGAAACTTACGGAAGATACTCAAGAAAGAAGGTTATCAAACAAAGGAAGTATTTCGAAGCTGCAGTTTCATAATAAAGACGATGATCTCATATTAACATTAGGGAAAAAAGAATTTTCTTATTACGAGCATCAGAATGTTTTTGTGCAAAATAGTGGACAATGGGTAAGTAATTCGTTGTTCGAACTTTACGTTGTATAATGTTACTTATAATATTGCATTGACGATTAGGAAGACCATAATGAAATTACCAATATTTATGTAGCTACGTGAATATGACAGAGAGCTGGAAGACTTTGATGGAAGATTATTTGAATTTCCGATTAAATTTGTACCCAGTTACCCATTTGAGGAAGATATCAATGAAGGATCAAATTATATGCAAACAAGAGTACCGGCTTGGTGCGATCGTGTTCTGCTGAGTCCTACCGCTAAAATGCTAGTCCAAGATGTACGAAATATCATTTACATTTTTTCTAAACGCGTATCTTTCAGACAAATAGTCTTTTATGCAATGCATTTTTCAGATATCATCGCCGGATGCCATGGAATATGGAATAATAGGGCCAACAACTTGTATGGGCGATCATAAGGTGAGAGAGTCTTTTTTTTTTCTAATGTAAGAAGAAAGGTACTAGTTTTTTTAATTACTATGCTGGGTGAATATATTTACACACTTCCTAGTTATTATTCTGATGATTCATTCTTTTAATTATGGTGCAGCCTGTTTTTCTGGAGTTTCGAATGAATCTCTAAGCACTAAGGTACCTATCTATCAACTGTCTGCCTGTTTTTATCTTGGTTTTTCCATATATCCTCTACTTCTACTGATATCTCACTCCTCTATTTATGATTACATAGAGGCTTGCCAGTGTAGTTCGTTTCAGTATAGTAACACTTTTGAAAATCACTTATTTAATGACTCCCGATTTCATAATTGTATATAGTATTTTGAACACGTTGCCATCAGAAAGAGTTAAGTATATTTTGTGTGGTCATCACAGGTATGCGTTCTATCGCTATAATGCCCTGATACTATGAAATTTCGTTCGAAAGATCATGCATAAGATTGAAAAGAGTTTGATATCCATTTTTGTAGCCAACGTGAAATACTTTTCAGTGAACTTTACCAAACGTTTAGCACCATGTTTCTATAGTATCGTATCAAAAGTACTTTGTTATCATGTTGTTTCCCCGAATTACATTAATGTTAGTTAGACTTTTTATAGAGTCCTACCATACGAAGAATATCCCTCTCCATTTCTTCATAGAGATGCACGATATTACATAAGGATCGTCCATTTTTTCCCGTTTGCAGCCAGTCTACTTGAGGGCTAATCTCATCGTGGACGAAGGTATGATAAACTGCTGCAGCTTGTCGAGTGCACCTGAGTTTTGCTTTCGAGTGCCAAGCAATTATGTGGAATTGTTATCCATGTTGCCTGATTACAGTAGTTGCGCTAGTGGACAGGTTAATTACACGGACCGTTCGACTAATCTGTTGCACGCAGCACCCATTAAGCATGATCCTTATACCCCAGATAGCATGGACAGTCCAAGTCCAAATGCTATAATATCAGCCACGGGTGAACTCCCGGACGTAGACATAGATAACATGAACAACGTGTCCATGGCACAGTTTGTACAGACGTCGAACTTTGCCAGACGTTTAGACACAGCTGTGTCGCCTGCTCTCTTAAAATCCAAGTTAGAACTGATCGTTCGGAACAAAAAACAAGAGGCGATGGACGCGGATCAAGATACAGCTGATATCAAAAGAAGCCCTAGCGACTGCTGCTTACACTCGTGGCCCAATACTGAGGAGTGTAAAAACGTATGGTCTGTAAGGACGAACAGATGTAACAGCGACCTGTCCTGGCAGAGATCGCATCTCTTAACCGAAGCATGGGTTCAGAGCAAAGGACAACAAGGGTATCATTCGTTTGGAGATTTTATCAAACGATCGTCCTTGGATTCAACTCCGCCGAACGGTGTTGAGGGTTTGCCTTCCGATTTGATTATACCAAGGATATCAATAATAAATGCTAGTAACTTCGAATCAAACGAGAGTTCCGTGTACTTACACGACGACAAGTATAGCGACTATTCGGATAAGAAACTAAGCACTTACTCGGACGACCGAACAAAGAGCTTGAGCGGCGAAGCGTTCAGTTCAGGAAAGTCGGATGAACTTTGCGATAAAACAGACGACGAGAGCAACAGACTGAGCTTAAATACGAAGAAAATAGGAATGAACGAGAGCGTTTATTTGCAAAACATAAGTGAGCTAATAACGAAACCAGACAAGAATTCTTGTGCAATGGTGGTTAGTACAAATCGTTTTAATATTGACGGTAAGATGAGTAAAATGAACGAGGAACGAATGCTTGAAAATAGAGAGAAATGCTTAAATCAAATTATAAATACATTAGAAAGCACAGAGGATAATAATAGTAAAAATCAACGTGCACTCGCGGATGATGCACTAGTTGATAAGACAAGTATTAAAAGTAGAAGTATAATTTCGGAGACGACTTTAGCAGATGAACGAACTTCTGAAGTATTACAAGTTATTACAGAAACAGAACAAAGGACAGTTCGCCATAGGAGTGAAAGAGAAGACAGATTGCAGAATATGGAGGCAGAGAACATAAAATCAAAACAGAACAAGTGTAATGAGACAAATGTATGTACAAATGTAGAAGATTTTGATGCAAGTAGCAAGCAAACAGAAATATCAAGATGTTGTAGCAAGTGTGAAATGATAATTTCACAACAAATTACAAGAAGTGATTTTGTACAAAATCAAAGTAGCAATGATAATACAGAGGACATTAAACTCAAACTCAAAGCATGTAACTCTGATATAGAAAATTATAAGGACAATATCATTGGGAAGGAAAGTAAGTGTCAAAAGTGTTGCTGCGTTGTATCGTGAAAACGCAAAATCTTCACACATGTTCCTTATTTAGCCTTCGTATATTGTAGTCATGATTCTCGGTTTCCTCGGAATAAGAAACTATCGTAAGAACGAAGTCGAAAAAATCGATTATTAAGATTTACTTTATAAGAGATAAGAAATAAGAAGGAAGGAAAAAGCTATATTCTTGAACACTTAAAATATGCTGCTGACGCTCTATCCGATAGCATCGATTTTCTATTGTACATGCATGTTGCAAGACGTTTTCATGTTCAAAGTGTCTTCTGCATGAGCATGATACTCTAATATCGTATCACGTCAACAACTATCTTTTTAGCGTATATTCAAACGATATAGTTACGTACTATAAATTTTCATATTCTAGATGCGCAGTTGAATAAGCAGTGTATCATTGTTACGTAGTGATATGTTACGTTATATGATGTAGAGTTTTAATGAGTCGGAATATCCAGATGACTGTGTCAACGTACGATCTGTTAAGCAGTGTTACCAGTATATGTAATAGATACGTAAAAATCCCTAACGATTACGTTGTCCCATTTCGTTATTAATTTATTAAATAAGTTTTCCAGTCAAGTATGTATCGGGCGTCACTCGAGAAAGTTATTATCTTGTAATTTTTCGTAATCTTTTGTTACAATGTTTTTTTGTTACAATGACTTAATTTTCGACCGTCTCGATTTTATCTTTTTGTTCACGTCTACGTTCTATTGCTATCGCAAGAATTCCATTCACAGCATTTTCAGCGTACAAGACACGTGTGCTCCTATGTGCATCGTAACCCTTGCCAAATTTACTGTGTCCTATATGATAGAATATTAGAAACGTACGTGTAGACGCGACACGCACGTAGTCCATTGTTTGGACTCGACTGCCAAAGTTAGTTTTGTTTTAGTTAATAGAAAGAAAGATATTAACTTATACGGTAAAATTGTTAGTCATATGTCTTTACGTTGTACATAATCATTTAATGCTATCTTTCCTAATTTCCTATATACGTTTCGTTACAAGTTACAAGTAGTTTTCTTTGTGGCAATATCTACAAGTACAATTTTGTAAAAAAATTGACAATGAGGTTCTTAACGTTTCCATGAAAGGTTCAAGCCAATTCAAGTCGATACTGTTTAACCGTAAAATAATTTGCATACAAATAAAGGTATCTGTTCCGTGTCTTGCCGAAAAAGAAATTGTACATAATACGAGAAACAGTGTTGCAATAGTAACGGCCGTTTACTGTTCAAAACGTTACGCTCATAGGTACTTAGTAAAAGATAATTTATAACATTTATTTTGCAAAACGAATTCCAGACCACATTTTGAATCTGATCGTAATAAATATCGCAGATTCGAGCAATCGATTTATCATGCATTTGTTTCCGGTCCCATTGTGCTTACGACTTATAAAACGTTTTATTAGTAATTATTATTTTCTCCTCGCTTGTAAATATAAATTTATTTTTAATACAACCAACAGTTGCTTTTTTTATTTATATCCTTTGATTTACGTGATTACGTGTTATTGTTATTTGCACGTTGCACCGTAATGCACCCTTAATACCTTATTTTATATGGTAGAGCAGATCGAAGTAAAATCAAGAAAAAACTTTTAAAATTTCTAATCTGAAACAGTAATTGCTTAACAATAGAAAGAACCGTGACAGAAATTAACCCGTTTGAGTTATTATGACCTCCCGCCATTTGCTTTTCCCGGAGCCAACTTCACGAGGCTCAGTAAGTTTGAAATTTTATTTTTAAATAAACCGTTAAACTCAAACAAGAAGTTTTGAACTAATACTTGAACTTTTTTCCACGAAAAAGATATATTATATGCAACTAATATTTTATAGCAATTAGAAACATGTACAAGAGATATACGTACACATGTACTACCTTCATCTGCTCTGCTAAGATTTCGAAACAGTTGGTCAATGATTGATTCTTGGCTGCAGACGTGATGAACGAGGCGTCCGAATCGGGTACGATGTCCAGCTTGAGCAGTCGTGAGATATTCAACAATAATAACGACACCCACAGCAACAACAATAACAACGGCGCGACTACCATCACGAGATATATTCACATTAAACACGCAGACTCGTCGGTTAAGATTTTTCGAGAAACGACCGTCTGATATTGAATTTATTATTCGTATACGGTTACCACTTACAGCTAACAATTTCACGTTATGTGAAATAACGTTTCACAAGCTTATGGTTGCGAGATATTTTAACGGTTTTACCGGCAAACTAATCTTTGCGCAAATCTCGCCGCGACGCTTTCGAAATGTCCCGATAATCGAATATGTTCGATTTTATTCGATTATCGACTTTTAGATTGCTGGTCGCGTCCAATGATCATTCAATCGATAATCGCAGATCGCCCATGCACTCGCGTATGGATGAAATTGCGCGAGTCGTTAAATTGAATCGAAGCAAAATACTGCAATTACGAACCGTTTTGCTGACGACGGACGTGCGACGATTGCCGCTAATACTGGAGCGTGCTCTCGGTGTGAACTGCTGTTTGCCCGCATACACGAAAAGCTTTGGGTATGTTTACACGAAACTCGATACGTTATTAGTAATTTCGAAGTTATTAATGTATTCACTGCAGATTTGATTCTCATTATATTACATATGTGTTTAATAGATACCAATTATTACGAAAAACTTTTTCATAATTTCGAGATTTTTAGTTCATGTGCCACATTCAAGTCGATACGATACATAATGCAAAAGTATGTGCCGACTCGAATGTGCATCGTGTGCAGTGAACGTGTTAAATTCGAAATACTTCCTGTTGAAACTATACAATAGAGATGTTAGAAGAAAAAAAAAAGACGAGATCTTTTTGAGAATTGTTAATATGACGAAATCGTTGATACAATGGCGTATATGACGATTATTGTATTTTATTCGTTAAGTGTCTTGGTGTTCCTACGCTACGTTCTTTCAGACAGTTCTTCCCAAGACTGCGAGTCTTGCAAATGATTTGTATAATTAGACGAGCAGAGATTCACGATAAAGAAAACGTTTCCATGAGAGATCGTTTGATGTGATATTACCGTGGTACCTCACTTTTGTTGGTTTCCATTGTTAGAGATCGCGAAAGCTGAAAGAAGAGTATTGCGCTACGATTGCTGCCAATATCAATTCGACTTCACTTTTTACAATGTGATTCAATTATAATTGATACGCGTTGTCTCGTTGAATTACGTTGCAAAGAGTTAATGAGAATCATTTGAGAAAGAATAATTACGTACAAAAATGAAAAATACCTATTCCCATTTGAAATTTTGTATGTAATAATTCCATTGCAATTCTATAATGTGCACGGCATTTTCTACTCATACATTGGCGTCGAGTTCCACTGAGAAAAATTCCTCGTGTCGAAACATGTATCGCCGTTTTTCTCTTCTCCTTTTTTTTTTTTATATTATTTTATCGCTACAGTGTTGAATAGCAGTAAGTGCATTATTTTCGACGCTCAAACAAACTATTACTAATCTCTGATGGAATTTACTTGAAGCACTCGATTCACGATAGTATCTTAATCCGATCCAATTGGACTAAATTTGCGGGTACATTCCATTAGCGTAACCACTAGCTAGGGAACTCAAAGCTTCTGGGAAACTGTTGGCAGGTACTCGAACGTCGTTAATATAGGAAATATAAAGTTTAGACATGGTAGATCGTATGTATTTGCACGCAAAACATATCTATATTCCTCTATCGACATGCGTACGATAAATGTACACTCGTTATAATCCCATTGCGGATGTTTGTCACTACTTAAAAATTCTTCAAATCCTTCCACTGCCCCCTGGTTACGTCATTGAATTCACATTTGTTGATGTTATATGGAAATATGTATAAGGATGTACCAACATCATAGTGTCCATAAAGTATAATGGATTATGTTTATTCGTTCCGTTTGCGATTTCCATTATACTCTAAATACGATAACGCGAAAACGATGATTCGAATGACTTAAACGCGATGCTATATTGTTATACCATACTCCCTTGCGATGAAAACTCGCCAATACCACACTTCTCATTTCACACTATCAAAAACGATCATTGTCCATGTTTGTCCTCTCTGCAGAAAAGTGAAGAATATTTTAACATCTTTAACTTTGGCTCAATACATAGCAAATTTTTCAAGCGAAATATTTCTTATATTACACAATCTAAATTATGAAATTATAGAAGAACAATTTTCAATCGACAATAAGTCGAGATACAAATCATCTTTTATAATGTCGATTCCTCCATGTTGCGAGTGTTGTTTCTGACTACTAAAATGAATTATTATACACGTAGTATTATTGCAAAAGATCGATAAATTGAACAAGGATCGTTTTTGTCATGAGGCCCTTGATTATTGCCTTCGCCTTTGGTGCGAGCGAAGGTTAGTTATTTTATATGAAGGTTTACTATATCTCGAAGAAGTCGAGACGTTTACCTACGACTGCTTTTAAATCCGTTCCATCTTACATACAATTTCGCATGTATAGCGATAGTGATAAAAGTAAGCACGAACAGCCATCGCAAGAATCGTAGAAGCTAATTGGTACCTTGAATAAGTCCTCGCGCTCATTTAACGAAAAGCTATGACATGCACTCAATTACTGTTGTAACCCTCCAATTCCCATCGCTCAGGTTACGATGCAAAACATGCTAAATTTTACTAATTTTTATCTCTATTGGTGAATGAAATAGCAGATTTCAAGAAGTTGCTATTTTTATTATAAGTTACTAATTTCTTATCATATTTCATTATTAGATTATGGATGCTCGTTCAAATTCATATTTTCATGAAAATAATCAAAAGGATGGAACGTAGATAGAAAATTGTTATAAATCAACACACTGAAATAGATGCTAAACTGCTCACTAGAATTTTTACAGGTCATCTGAATATGTAAATTACTAATTTGCTTATATTATAGAATAATATGATAATTGTTGATCAATATAATACAGTACAGATCAATATAATACAATAATTGTTGATGCTTATGGGAATTAGATGGTTATGCTACATTTTCTCCATTGTTGTGGCGATTGGTATTTGAAATGTCTGTTTTCGAAGTGTATGTCAATGATAATCGTAAGCCATTCCTTGAGAATTAGACGTAAGATAATTAATGGTAAAACGTACAATTCGTCGATTGGAAACTTAATGAGGTACCTGATCTGTTTTGACCAACGTATAAAGTACACTACAATTCTCGTATCTATTATGGAGGATTTCTGGGTATTTCCTAAGTTAATGAAATGCTCGATACGATCTTAATTAAACAATATTGTATTCTACCCTGTGCAATACCTGGAAATGCATAAAGCGTCGAATTGTACACTTTATCTGTAACGCAGTAATTTAACTCGATGTACGTATTAACATGTATGTAAGATTAAGGATTTGACGCTTTTACCAGACTGGTTTTAGGATCTTCCGCGCGGGCAAGTTTTTCGAGAGGATTTTTAAAAGAATTGTCACATACGTTTAATTACCTTGTCATCGATAAAAATCGGTGATTTGTGCTTTTCTATATCTTCATAATTTACAAGCTAGTTGTTTACAAGCTAGTAAAAAAAAAAAGAAAGAGTTTGAGTAATCGAAATGGCAAAATTAATAAATAGATAAAAAGTTAAAGTCAACAAATGATAATTAAGATTAGATTGAAATGCAAAGTACGTTATCGAAATTCTTGCTTGCTCTGATGTTTTATGAGATGTTTTAAGAGAAACATTATTTCTTCCGTCTTTCGACGGCAAGTAAACGTTGTACTTTTATAAATATGAATGTACTTATATTTTGTACTGACAGTACCTTGCAAAAATATAATATGTTAAATAATGAGATTACATGTGCATGTATGATGTACGTTACGAATAAACGTTATATAATAGGAATACTTCTGACTTGAAAAGTGACCAAAATCTACTGACGAAATTAAATGATGGTTATGTTGTTTTGTTGAGTCAAATGTATATTATATTGTCACATTTACTTCATGTATTAGTATAGAAAAAGAAAAATAAAATTATCGTTCTACAATATGTGCGTACACACGTATTTTCCTTTTTAAAGTAATATGTTTTGTCTTGCTAAGTACATTATAGTAATCGATCCAGCTGATTCAGATTCAGGATAGGATTTGTCAAAGCAAAAAATATATTCTATATTCAATATTTCTTTATATTCCAGAATTCATTCACGTAAATTTATTTGTACTTCATTTCAACTCTGTAATGTATAATAATTATATATTTATTTAAATTAACATAACAAAGCATTTAATTGTTCTTTTAAGGTTGGTACCTCAATTCATGTCACCTAAAAACGATGTTAATGTGCATGCATTGGCTATAGTTGGCACGCCGCTGATTTTAATATCATAGTGTGAAGGAAGGCAAAAGCCGGGAAGAAGTACATATCCATAATTGTGGGAGTAATTTATCATTAGTATTCTTTAAAAGAAAAACCAATCTAAAAATGAGTAAGGCGCATCCTCCAGAGCTTAAAAAGTAAGTGTAATATATAAATGTGTAATATATAAATTTCTAAGTAGTTATGTATAAAGGTTATACAAATTTTAATTCTTCTTAATTTTTAAGATCATTTGAATTTTAATTCTTGTACATTGTAAATGCAACAAAGCGTGACAAAATTTTATTTTTATTTTTTAGATACATGGATAAAAGATTATCATGTGAGTATATAAGTATATCTTAAATATTATTGGTAATGCAGTTATGTTTACATGCAGTATTTTGTTATTGGAGTCATAATATCGTATATTATATTTATTCGTGTTATTTCTTCAAAATGTATTCTTTTCATTAGTAAAACTCAATGGAGGAAGGCACGTTATTGGAATTTTACGTGGCTTTGATCCGTTTATGAACATGGTTATAGATGAAAGTGTCGAAGAATGCAAAGATGGTACAAAGAACAATATTGGAATGGTGGTAAGTTAGTGAATTCTTTTTGTGGTGACAAATGAATTTCTGTTGAATTAATGAATTCATCTTATCATTTTAGGTAATACGTGGAAATAGTGTAATAATGTTAGAGGCTTTAGACAGGATATGAATTGAAATATTAAAAATATAAAAATATAATATGTATTCTTAAGGAAATAACTAAATAACTTTTTATATCATACACAATATTAATATCATATTTATTCAGCCTTTGAAATATAATTCTTGATCAGTATTTTCAGTTTGAAAAGACAATTATTTTGAATAAATAGTTTTCATATTAAATAGCGATTTATTCTTTTAAAACCTTTTATATAAATACAATACAACAGACAATTTTTTATGACATATTTTGCTCAGAATATATTTTATTTGATATACCATTTCAGTGATTTTTATGATTTCAAAAATAATTTGCTTATTATCCTTCATTAATAACACCATTTCTTTGCACAATTGTGAAACATTTACATTCTATTTTCACTATTACATTGAATTTTGCACACTGAGTATTATGAATATTAAATGCACATATAATTTTCTTTATTACACTTATATTGAAGTAAAAGTGTTCTGTTTAACTACACAATTGTATTAAAATTGTATTTTTTATTGTCAGTTAAAGATAATAGAACGAATTAATTAAATTAATGTTGTTTATAATCAACGTTTATTTTTCTGAATTAACTGTCTTATTTATGTAAGGAACATTAAAATTTTGAAGGCACACGATATTCATTTCTATTACCAAGGAACTATATCTTTGCAAAATATTTCGTCTATTCTTCTGTTAACATTTACTAAAATCTCAACATAAATTACGAAGCTCAAATTAGCTTCTATAACGATATAAAAATTTTAAATTCTTTCATATTGGAATCCTACTCTAAATACTAAGTTTATTCAATAGCAAGGAAATATTTACGCGTTTAATTTTCTGTTAAAGTTACCATAGTTCTCGTTGAGAAATAGTAAAAGTGAAAAATAATTTAATAAAAAAAAGTATAGATAAATACACATCGTATATTAATTTTAGTCTATGTAAATGAATACTTTCAACTAAACAACTTATTTGAAAATAAAAGGAACACAACATAACTTATATGTATCTACGTATTAGAAATGGCATTTAACTTTCTTTCCATATAAAATACTCTTACATTTAATAACAAATTTTCTAGTTCTAAAATATACACATCGTTCTTTTCTGTTGAATTATTCTTTTGTGCGTTTTAAGATATGTCTATCATATTTTCGTCCACGTGCATGACCATAGTTTTATTTCAGTGTATAAAAAATTATTATTGTGCCTAAGGTTATATTAAATATGCAATTAAGGACGATACATTTTTAGATAATTTGAAAAGAAGTTATAGTGGAAAGATGGCCATATATCACAGTTTGAAAGATTTCATAATATTATATATATTCTTCATCGACTTTTGTAATCGTTCTCATTTAAAAAATATCAAATTTGTTCAGTCATATAATACATTTTTCTATAATATTCATTAAAATATTTAGAATTGTTTTATAAATAAAGTAAATATACTTTTATAAATAAACCAAATATATATCAAGTAATTTTTCTTTCCCGTTTGTCTTATAGAATCTAAGAATATTGCAATAATTTTTTCAGAAATTAAAATAAACTATTACATAAAACATATGTACGTTTGTACAACGTAACATAAAATTTTCTCCTAAAAGATTAACATTTGATTAACTATAGTATGTAAGCACGTTTTATGCATATTTTTACAAATTAACTTACTCGAAATTTATAACAGACGTATTTTTAATCTAGACAATTGTTTCTTTGTTTCAATGAGTTGCTAATCTGGAATGATTTATACTTCATGACGTAATTCTGTTTTGATATTTTTGACAATATCTTGAGTAGGCATAATAATGTATCCATTTGTTTTATCTTCTTTTCTTACTTCTTGCTGTATGTCAAGGTTGCTTGTCTCTATAACATTAGAAGGAATTTTTACAATATCTGTTTTTATATCCTCATTATACTTTTGTCTGTGATATTTTAAGTGATCAACAAATGCATATACACTACATGTTTACATATAATTTAAATACTTACGTGAATCTTCAGTAATTTGCTGATTACATATACTAGGACTAATGCTTTCACTCTTGTGATCATTGGATATATGTTTCTTCATATCGTATCGATTACTAAATAATCGTTTACATATTTTGCAGGTGAACCGGTTTTCACCTGTATGCATAGCAACATGCATTTTGAAATACCAATCTGTACTGAAGTTTTTAAGGCAATAGTCACATTTGAAAACTTTCTTTTTTCGTTTCTTTTTTACTATTTTTTTCTTTTTCCGTGATGCTGTTTTTGAATTAGTTGATAATTCAACTTTTGGCACAAGTGCTAAATGTTGAATAGGTTGAGAATTCGTTATAGTTAATGATGGTGCTGTATCATCTGGCATGATACAAAACTTTGGTATACCCTGTGTTTGGTGCAGTAAGGATGGTTCTGTTATTAAGTTAGTTATAGGTACAACACGTATAGGTGTTAACAATGGTTTAGGCTGAATGGGTGTTGTGACAATTTGTGAGTGTGGTAAGAGTAATTCGTTTATTGGTATTGGATGTGTATTAGCTTGTGTTGTAAATGTAATATAATGACTTTGAGGTAAAGGAACTGTACTGGTTGTTGTTACGAATGACCTAGTTAAGGCTTCTGATACAGCTAATTGTATGGGATTAGATATACTATTTTCATTAGAACACTGTGTTTTGCCAAGGACTATACTTTGTTGTGGTAATACAATTGGTATACTGGATAAAAGTTTTCCAAAAACATTATTTACATTATTTATTTGTGAAGTAGATTGTTTTGTGGACATAGAATTTATAGTAATTGCTGTTGTTGTTATTGTTGTTGTTGTTGGTGGTAGTGGTGGTGGTGGTGGTGGTGGTGGTGGTGGTAGTGATGGTGGTGGTGGTTGTGGAGGAGGTGGTTGTTGTTGCTGTAAGGGAACTGATTTCGGAATAATAATTAATTCTTTGTTATTTTTTAAAGTTTCCATTGCAAGGCTATACCCTGTAATAGGATCTGTATAATCATTTCTCTTCATTTTAGAAGCTTCGATTATTTGAATTTCTCGTTCTCTCATTCTTTCTTTTAATATTTTGGCACTGCTTGTTTCATTATGCCTGTATTCATTTTTCCTTATACAATTCTTGTGATATATACGAGATCTTTGTGTTTGTAACATAATACCACAAATATCACAAGCTATTGATTGATTACATCTATTTAGTCTAATTATAGCTCTGCGACAACGATCATGATCAATGCTTAATGCATCACACATTTTATTTTCACAATGTCTTGAAACAGGTGCATCTATCTCACTTTCCTCTATGTTAATGGCTAACATAGGTGATGATCCATCACGGTCTACATATTGTTGTACTACCACATCGCATGTAATATTTTCACAAGGTTCGCAATGACCACAAGGTTTTCTTTCTCTTGTAACAGGAACTAATGTAATTTCTGATTTACCATGCTTCTTGGAAGGTAAGAAATTCTTATCTTCTATATTTTCCTCTTGATTTGTCTGTAAAGGTATTACTGACAACTCTGACTGTTTTGTTCTATGTACATTTGAATCTATATTATGTATTTTGTTTGTTAAAACATTATCGTTGGAGACAGATGTTGCATTTATTTTTGAAGGTATCCTTTTAACAATAATATTTGGTTGATTGAGTAACCTTTTTACTGGATCCGATTGTAACACCTATCGTAAAATAATAAAATGAAAATATAACGTAACAAAAATACACGTAAAAATATCGTAAACGTCAAACTTACATCAGATAGAGTAGCAGTGAAATCTGATGGACACATTCTTGATGTATTTATCGGAGTGCAAATAAGCTTCGGTAGCGAGGCATGGGCCATTTTCACTGTACAAAAATATACAATTTTGCAATCTCCTGTAAAGTACGATTAATTCCTCCCGTCGTGTAACAATTCCGTAAATATTTGAATTACAACATTGCGTCACATACGTGTACACTTTGTTTTGTAACACAGACGCGAAATTCGAAATAAGCTGCCAAACATTAAATGTCGTTACAATTTCATGTGTGAAATGTTATGCGAAATTTTTCTAACATTCGATATAGTTGTTAGGTTATCGGTTCCTCGACAAATCACAATAGCGTACTCTAATATAGAAAGGTACATAATGTTTGGGATAGTACGATAACATTTGGCAACGAAACACTCACAAGTTTCTTAGATTATTGTCACTGACAGCGATCAATAAACGAGTAATTCAACACTCCCGCGACTCATAAATTTATGATCGCGTGAAATCGAATGTTTCATCGTGACACATTGAATATAGAGAAACTTAATTTTTTTTTATATAAAGCCAATCTTGGTGCATATAATAAACATATTTTGCCTGAACGATCACGACAACGAAAAAGACGGTACGTTTAGAGTTTTCCAAGGACAATGATGTTTACAACATTATAATGAAACTTATTGACAAAATTCATTTCTTTGTAAACTACGGGCCTGCACAAACGATTCCTATTGGAGGGAAACGATACAAGGGGAAGATACCTCTCACTCGAGATACTTTGATTTTTTGACATTTATATCTTTTTTTATGTCCATTATCCATTATCTGCTTTACGCAAATAAAAACCGAAAGTTCATTTGACAATATATAATTATTTAACTCCTTTATCTTTCATTTTTAATTGATCGAAAGATTTGAATTTTATTTGCGCCATTAATAATAGAACCATATTACTCCGTACCCTTCGCATTAAAGTAAATAATAAATAGCGACATAAAACTCACTATTATCCATTCAGTGTTTCTATTTATGAATGAATACGAAATATAAACAGAATTAGATAAAAAATAGTAAATCTTTTATATCGAAAATTCTCTAGCCCATGTTATAGCGCATGTAGGCATACACAGGTTGTGCGATTTTATTATTATAGTATAATCACCTACCTCTTTATTGGTCCGTCGTTAATGACAGATAAAACGCATGCATGGAATAAAGAATTTATTGTAACGTTACTATGCATTAGGAAATGTACAAGTTATGAGACAACGTTTAAGTAGTTACGATAAACGTACATCTTGGCCCTTTAACACGTGGAACGTAACTTATCTTTGGTATTAAACGGATAATGCAACGATGTTTGTTAACTCTAGCTGCAAGTCATCTTTAGTAAACAATATCGTTTAACAAATCTAAACGTTGTATGTAAAAAAAGGAAACGTACGCCTAAATATGATAATCTTATCTATCAGTTATGGCCAAGTTTCTGTCGAGAGGCGTTATTTTCTATTTTACAGTCGTATGCCGTGCAAAACGTCTGATTGTCTTTACACTGGAGCCATACATACGACATCATTGCGTGGAAAGAAAAAGAGAAGCGATAAACGACTATAAACGATGCCCGAACGAATAATAGTCATCGAAAAGCTTTATTGAACTTAAGTTGCGGTCCCTAAAATGCTTTAATTAATACATCGAGGCGACTGTACATAGGAACTGTATAAATTAAAACATCGCAAGCGACGTACAAGCGAACAACCTTATACACGAGAAACGTACATAGCGAAAGATAGCTTTGTTGAAATAATAAATGCACAAACACGCTACAACCATGTCGTTCAATAAAACCTTTTCTTCCGTCGTTTTATTTTTTTTTTTTTTTTTTTTTTTTTTTTGTTTTTTTTTTTTTTTTTTTTTTTTTTTTTTTGGTTCTTCTTTATACAGGAGAACGTTTTTACGCTTTACAGCAGATCGAACGAGACACCGTGAAGAAGCTAAATGCTGAAGTCGCATGTATGCGTTTAAAGATAGTTCGCGAATTATAACTTAGCGAGCACGAAGGTACATTGTACAAAATGTTACTTACATCTATTACATTATAAACATATTTACATCGATCAGTCAAATAAATATTTCCTCTTAGTCTTTGCGTATTTAACGATGCTAAGTAATTAGCGATCGAACAGCAACGTCCGAATTTCTTAGTATCTTACTAGAATATGCAAAGAATTCGTGCGAAAGTAAAAGAACAATCGTAGTGACGGTGATGCATTGAACGAAATATCTCTACCATTGTACTCTAATGTACTTTTTTATCGTAGAAGAAATTCTGCCTCGTTTTCGAACACGGCGTTGAAACCCTAGCAGACACTACCGTTTAAGCTCTCTTAGCTAAATCGCGCCTAAATTTTGATTCGCATTAGAATCTCGAAGGTACGATCGCATTCGCGAAAACGGACTTTAACGACGACGCTTAGTTAGTCTTTGGAAAGAGCTACTGTTCCATAGAGTTTCTTCTTCTTTTTCTTTTTTTTTTCTTTTTTTTTTTATCTTTCTTGGATATGGTTTTCCTTTCGAAACTAATCTTTGTCCTCTTGAAAATTTCTTATATTCTCGAAGTTTCACAATGTTTTCTTTCTCTTCGCGTGAGACGATATTATAAAATGATAGATTTGGTCGCATCTATAATCTGCTACTTATAATAATGTACGATACGATGTTTCTGTATTACCTCTCGTTACATGTATATCACAGAGTTCAATATAATTTCTTACGCGTTCCTTTTGCGGCATCGAGCGAAACTTTTGAAAATAATTGTTGCTTATTCTGTTCATTTCGTTTTACAAAATGCTCTTAAGATAAATATCCTCGACGATCGTTAATGTTTCGCGATACATCCGAATATTACGATATAATGGATAATTTCTACAAAAAATATTAGAATTTTTAAGTAACTACTATTTACAGCGATAATATTGCGTCGCGCGTCTCGCGGTCGGTACAACCTAATTTCAGTATTCTGACAGTAAATACAAGTTAGCGTGGCTTTCGATCAACCAATTCTTTCATTCGGTTTCCCGAACGAACAGTTGATCATTGTACTATTACGACTCCACTTCTTCGTGGCTGGTCATTTAAATAAAATAATATCGTAGAAATATTTGAACAGAAGTATTCATAAGTTTTCATCCAATGATCGATAGACTAGAATGTTTTAAATAAATCCTACATACTTCTTTTTGATGATTGGCCACCTATTCGTTCATCCGAGCTGTCTTGCACAATTAAACCATTAGTGAAATTTTACAAGCTACAAGTTACAAGTTGCCACTACCAATAAATACGTTTGAATAATATTAACAAGTTGCTAATGGAACGAATGACATTTTCCAAATAAATCTGACAAGTCAAAGATCACACGGGAAAACATGATAAGCCTGTTATGACATCGCTTGGTGGTATTTTAACACGACTTAGAAAGACCATATCATTACATATTGTCTCTTAAAGGTAGCGAAAAAGAACCAACAAGTTTTGTACAAAATCAACCGGATAACTAATGTAATGACAAATAATATTTTTAACGTATTCCAGAATCGACGCATACAATCTCTAAATGAAAAAAGACAGTTTAGATAATATAGGATTAGTCGTGATAACATACAGATTTCCTATAGATTTATCATGTTTGTTCTCTGTAGTCTTCAATTGCAAAATATCTGATTATCTTATTCGACGGAGAATTATAAAACAAGATAAGTTTACAAGATAAGTTTACATCCTATAACGTGTGACTTGTCAATTTACTAATATTATTAGTCGGTATATTACTGTGCAAGTGTGCGCTGATCGCTTATTTCTTAACACCCGAAGTTTCAGTCTTGCCGACTGTACGTTGTGTTTTATGTACATTGGGTATCGTTCTTGGCGCGTTAACGTTCTTATTTGCCTCGAATTTCTGTTGAAGGGAGGCCACATTCGATTTACTGCTCGCTGCTCTTTGCACCGGGTTCGTCTTCGCCCCTGAATCTTTCGTCTCCGTCTTTTGACTCGGCTTCGATTGCGCGCTTTTAGTAGCCGATTCCTTAGCGGATAACGATTTAGTCACGCTCGTGTTACCAGTTGGAGACTTCTTTTTCTCCGCGAGACTAGTTCCTTTGGACGCAATGTTCAATGGCTTAATCGGGGTGGCGGGTGCTTTCGTAGTACCGCCTCGTGACAATGTCGGCGTTTTCTGAACGTTTTTCGACTGAAAGTTAAGCTTTGCATTGTTTCCAACAACGTCCGGCGACTTTGTACTGATTTGATTAGAATTTGAACAGCTCGACACTAAGTCCGGACTGTTAAACTTTCCCCCGTTATCTTTAGGACTACAAGGCACAGTTTTCAGAGATAATCTATTAACGTTCGTGTGAGAATCCTGCTTCTCTAGGCTACCGTTTGGCTGATTCGCATTGCCACCCTTCGTATCCGAATTTTGCCCGGTTGAGTCCACGCTCGCATTCGAACCCTGCTTCTTTAAACTACTGTCAGAATACTGTTTAGACTTGGACGCGGTGTCCAGAGCTTGTCTGGCGACGGAGTTCGCGTCCTTCGTGATCGAACCTTTCGCGATGTTCGGCGGAGTCTTCGTTCTTCCAAGAGGCGGTTTCAACGGCTCTTTGCTGTCGTTTGTCCCTTCGTCGCTTTTCGAGTGAGTAACAGTTCGTTGAGTCGGTCGACTCTTCATCGACGTGATCGGTTTTCGAGGCCCCGCGTCCTCTGCCGTGCTTTTCATTCCCAGTTCCTTCGATATCTCGTCGTTTAGATTCGGATTCGCTAGATTCAGCGACAACAGTTTCCCCTTGTTGGACTTGTTGGCGTCGGCAATTTTCTCGGGCTCCTGTTGCGGTACGTTCAACGCTGATGGATTCAGGTAACCCGAGCTCGTCGTGGAACTGGACGAGTTGAATTTTCCAGACGCGGAATTGGAATAAATGCTGCCCGGCGATTTGTAGTGACTCGAGTTCATGTAAGTGCCAAGAGAATTGTTGTAACCCAAGTCCTCGGTATTTTTCGACGCACCCTCGTTCTCTTGCGCTTTTCTGGCTAAAGTAGCGGTGGAATATATGGAATCAAAGTTTCTGTTCGATATCTCCGACACGATCTCCGATAACAGGCCCATCGTTTCCAATCCGCCGGAATTGGCCGTGGGATCGACGCGTTTCGGTAATTTGTATTCGTTGTCGATCTGCTTCTCCGATTCCATGTTCTTTCTGCTCTTCTCGGGCAGAGTCTCCTCTATGACCGCGTATATATTGTCGTTGGTGGGTGACTCTTCTGTTATTTTGGTCAGCGACGACTCGCTGACGAGGTTCATGCAATCGTCGTACGCGTTGTCCACGACCTTCTGCGGGTTCTTCACTTGCGGTGTCTGATATCCAGGCAGTCCAGGGATCTTCCCACTTTCGTTCATTTTGTCCATCGTTGTAGGAATAGGAGGTCCCGGTGGAGGAGCCGTAGGCCTTGTGCTCGCAGGGATGCTGGTGGGTCTTTTAACCGGTGTCGTCTGTCGCATCGATCCGAACGTCTGAATCGCAGGTCTCGGAGTGATCTTGCTGTCTCTCATGGACTGGGCGCGCAACACGACGTTCTTTTTCTCTGCATCGGCCGCGGGGATCACGGGAATCGCTGGTGTAGGAATTTCGATCTCTTTCTGAGGGATGGGATTGGAAATCTCCAAGTTTCTCAAAATTTCTTTATCTATCACTTTGTTCGCTTTATGATGGTGTATTCTGGGCAGAGAATTCGTTGTCTTCTCGTCCTTCTGTGACATCTGCAGGCTACCTTTCATGATCCCAGAATTGGGTCGAAGCATCGAGGCGATTCTATTTAAAGTGCTGCCCTTCTCTGGCTTCTTTTCAGCCTCCGGCACCAGTAAGTTGGTCAAAG